GTGTTCTGGCTCGTAGCCATCAGTCTACAAAGTGAAGGCTTCATAGAAACTTTAGTAGTATATTCAAAATACATATGACTCAACACATACAAATATCTGTAGAAGCATCAAGTTTATTTTCAAAAATTACTAAAAACAGGGTGACGGAAGGACTCTTTTTTAAAACAGAGAAACCGATTTACATAAACAGGGCAAAGCAACATTTGGAAAATGTACAATCTATTTCCTATTATTGCACTTCTCATATTACAACAAGGCATTTTTAAAAATGTTTTCAACATAAATGATATATTTATATAAATAATGGTGTCTATATACAATATTATACAGAAAGTAGTGTGTCACACTTACAAACAACACGCAAAATGTAGTTAAAATCGTCACCTACTTGCCACAAAAGAGGAATTGGTAAACCTGTGCCTGAGAGGCACCAGTTCAGATTACAGGTAAAGGATCACATATTTGAATGCTTCATATGAAAATTTTTAAAAAAACAAACTTTGTAAATAAGAGAGTTAGTATGTCAGGGAAATTGCTAGGTTAAATCCTGCTTCCTGACATATAGGTTCTAACTATCTTGTTTTCTATGGAAGAGGAGCAAGTCTCGACATCTCTCCACTTGCAGTGTCTGGTTTCTTATAGAGGGTTCTCCCAAATTCCAGCTTGATTTTCATATACTATAAAAATCAATGTTGTTCTCTCCACTGAAAGTACAGATTTCTGGCATCTAACTTGTTGGGAAACTATATTTGCTGTGTAAACAGACATGTAACAGAGGCTAATCACTTGAGAAAGGAAGCAACCCCGCTCTCCTGCAATGCCTAACATTTTGTAGGATCTCATGATGTTAGGATCTCATAATCCTCCAGAAAAGGAGGATTCAGCAGGAATTAAGAGGGAGGAAATATCCATCTCCTTCTGCTTCCATAGAGCTCAAGTATTAATCAATCCCATTATTTCTTGTCTAGCCTGGCATCACTGAAGGTGGATTTTCTATTAAATGCCAGGTGGCTATTCCAGATAGCATTTTGAGAATCTGAATATGCTAATTTCAGTAAAAGTATTTAGGGGCTGGTATGGTCATCATGAGTGATTATTAAATTACGTTCAAAGCATAAGCACAACATCAATTCAGACCTTTTATATTTAGAACATAATAACAGTATAGAAGTTAAATTCATAATGACTTTCACATCACATCCAGCATTTGACTACATAGTCTTCTTTTTTTGCTGAAGGCTTGTGGCCTGTAAACAGTTAAAGTATCTACTGAATAATTCCCTCATAATGACTCATACTCCCAGGGAAATGTTTATAAAAGTCTGGCACTATGTTTTGTTTTTCAGATATACACTACGTTTGTGTTGATGATACAAAACATCTTTCTGATTTTAAATGCATCTTTACAACAGATGACGGCATTTGGATGGGTTTTGGTGTCCATATTTTAATAACTCTTTGGGACTGAGGATGAAGGAAATCCCCCCCCCCCCCCAAAAAAAAAAAACCTGCAACACTGACTGGTAGAGCATCAAAAGGAAAGTAGTGGAAACGGACAGGAGGGTAAGGAAGGACAATCATTGGGTAGGAAGGGGAAAAAATATCTCCTTGCTCCAAAAACTTTATAACGCTTTAAAGAAGTTTAAGCCAGATTGCAACAAAGTTTAAGCCAGATTGCAACAAAACTGGAATGGGGAAAGAGGAGTTTCTCAGCCCTCCTCCAGCTAGAGTGCGTGGACTCCCCAATGGGGTTTTTCAAGTTGAAATCAACATTATAATGACTCCACATATATTTCAATTCCCTCCATAGGTGAACATATGGCCTTTAATGATCAGCCAAGCTCCCCTCCAAAGTGCACAGAAAAGAAACAACTGCCTCCACATCAGAAAGTGCAGCCTGGGAGGTTGCATTTTAGGGCCTATTTTTGAGTTTTGTGGGAGTTAAGACTGGTCTCCAGCATAGTTTCCAACCTTGCAATAAGAATGCTCATTTACAGAGCTTGGGGGGAATTGGATTGGAAAAGCATTACTTTTTTTAAGGTCAAGTAATGTTCAGAAAACAGTATAAATGATTTACAGCAGTCTTCCCACCTTAGTACTCTTTAGGTGCGTCAGACCACAAACCCCACACAAAGGTGTAATTTGACAGCCCAAAGCATTCGGAAGATAGGAAATTGCAGATACAGTTTGCACAAAACTCTTCTATAGCCAAGACGATTCTTTCCCCGATTCTTTCCTTTTAAAAGGTGATGAAAACGATGCTTTAGAATGAATGGTAATAAACACAACTATAAGTATATTTCAGTCTTAAAATGGAAGAGAAGGAAACATAAGGCTTGATTGGGATTGTCTACCTTAAGTTCTTCTAATAAAATATGAATTCCAATGAATACACATAATAAAAACTTTACATGGTATATAAGGCTCGAAAGGCTCATGACCAATGCCTTCATAGAGAACTCATTCAGATTTTTCAAAAAACAATTCAGAGCTGGTAGCTTGGGAATTTTGGGCCTATCCCTGACACAGCAATTTAAGGCAAAAGGAAGAAACTATTTCACTTTATTTTTAATTTCTGAATATATATGCTGCCACTCAGGGCAAACCTTTTTTCTCCCCACCCCCCCCCCATTAATTTCCTTCTCTCATTTATTCAAAGTGATTATCTTGCTTTGTGCTGACCCTTATGTACCTTTTAAAAATTATCACTACTATTTATTTTTCTTTTTAAAAAACTATTCTAATTTCTCATATTTTGAACTTTCTTGTGCCTAAAATGATTGAACACCTCAAAATGGCCAGTCAAACATGTGCTTTGACTATACATGAAACATTCAAGATTAGTGCATATGAAGCTCTGGGAGTGTATTCTATATACGACAACTTCTAAATACCAAACAACTGGGAACTATGCACACACCTTCCACAATCTAATTCTCATCACAAGAAGATAGTCCTTGGTAACAACTGGAAGCCTGAGATGTGGTATATTACACATATCCATCTACTTTAAAAGTCACAGCCAGTTAAATAGGGCCCAGAGGAGCATTGTCACAATGCAAGCATAGGTACACAATGCCATATCAGCAATGCCACTAACTGCTTTTACAAATCCACACAGTACCACTAAAACCAACATTTTAGGTCAGAATCAGCTGAAAATATGGCCTCTCAGAAATGAAAAGTGCAGAATATCCACCAATACAGGTTCCCTGGTTGTCTCTTGTTATCTCCTGATTGCTGAAACTGACGTTGCCCATCTCCTCTGCTACTCTCCCTACACTATGACACATTTCTCAGTGCAACTCTGCAAAATGAAACCTGGTTCATTTACACATGGAAATATTTACAAATTTTAGGTCTTGGGTCAATTTGGGTAAAGAAGAAATTTCCCTTGGCATTGAATGGAATCGTGAGACCTCCAGGGCTAAAGGCCAGATAATCTAATTCATAGATTATCTCACATGGAGCTATTTAAATCATAATCAGCAGAAAACAGCACATACGCCTCAAGATGCTCAATGGATTAATGGTATATTAATAAAAAGCCCATCATATTTCAGTCTATATACTGTCTAAAAATGTGACTGTTTCAGCAATGACTGGATTTCAAACAGGAATAAAAAAAGCCACCAGAAGTATACACAATGGCACCATACACTGTAATATTATGCATTGCATTGTTAAATATTTCTATGTTCCCTCTTTTTTATGATTTTGTCTGAAGAAGGCCTCTGACAGTATGCCAAATGCATTAGACTTCTACTAATAAATCATTTGTTCACTGAGCACCTTGAGACATGTCCAAAGAGCTTTATCCCATCTATATACTTTTGGAAAGCACTACGAAATCAATATTTTCCCCTTTGTTTTTTTTCCAATGGGAAAGGAGGGTGATATTCAGTTTTAGTGGCCTACTATCGAGAGTTCCATAAATGAACAGGAGCATTTGTAGTTCTCAAAATACTGGTGGTTCTGATTTTAACCAATCTGTGGAAATATAGTTTTACTTGGAAGGAAATAAGATTGTGCCAAATATTCCTCTGTTCTATGATTCCATACGATCGCTACAAATGGAAGGAAAGTTTCTTCTCCTAGTTTGCAAAATGTAAAAAAGTAAGGGGACACAAACAAATATTCATTCTGAGGTTTTTTTAAATCTGCCCCAAATTATCAGTGCTCAACACACTGTTCCACTTTAAAACTCATGTAATGTGTGTTTTTGAAACAAAAGAATAGTTCAACAAGGATGAGATCCCCCCTAAACCTGAGGTGCCTTCATGACCAGTGACTCCCCCATGGAGCTCCCTTATTGGTCCAACTAGCACAGTATTACTCTGACTAGCAGCAGCTCACTTGGACCTCAATCATAGGACTTCACCAGTTCTGGAACCTCTGATACTTGAGATTTGTTTCCACTGTAGAAGGATTTCAAACTGGGAATTCACCCATACAATACATACACCCTTTCTTTGAGCCTTAGTCTGTCCCTCATAAGGTATGCCGAACACACTTTCCAGACTGTACCTGGGTGGATTCAAAACCAGCATCTGAATCCTTTTATTGCATTAGAAAAAAAACCAGCTATAGGCTGGCACCCTGTTCAGAATGTATAAGGTTCTAACTGGACCTTTGACCTTATAACTTTTGGTATTCATTTTCACAGTCATTAACAACCCAAAGGGACCCAAAAATCTACCCCTGCAGATGGGCAGCCTCCCAACAGAAGCTCTTGCTGGAGAGCAGGGTGCTGGGAAATAATGAGTCCAGTCCCCTTTTAGTTGTGGAGTACATTGAGATAGACAGGACCTCATTTCCTAGAACCCTGGAAATTCTGTTTCATCATTGCTTGGCTAAATGATTTGGGGTAGTATTGGGAGGCATATTAGCTACTATGATGGAGCTCCACCAATAAAGCTATGTTTCCTGATGCAGAATCTCAACCACAATATTTTAAAATACCCTACAGAACTTTCCCATCTAGCCTACGTAAACTATCATTTCCTGTGCATCTAAGTGGTGAGAGTGAAGTGTACCCACAGCAAATAATTAATTTATAAAACAAGAGGCCAGAACTCAGACATAAGCAAATCCTAGTCCCAACTACAAAAAATTCTGGCTGGGGCAGTCAAGTTATGTGGCAATTACACACTGCCAGTCTTTGTCAAAATGTGTTGATTTCATAACCTTGATGGAAGAGCTTATGTATTGAAATCAGAAAATCCCTGAACACAAAACCCTTCCATGGGTGCAGCTCCACACAGATCATTGACTAGGAGGTCTCCAGTATGGCAAAGAGAGGATATGGTTACACAGCAGTCCGTATGAAAAGTGTGCGGCACTTTGACTTAGAAATCCTGGAAGCAGCAGAATAGTGGTAATTTATAAAACTAAGTGCACCAATTTGGAGATGTTCCTGGCTTATGAATCTTGACATTCCTTGGCTGATTTAAGGAAGGACTGTCTGATGGAGTACAATGCCACTCAGTCAGGTCCAGCTCCTGTAATATTTACAAGGGTTCCAGTGGACACAAATTTCAAAGGTGTACTCAAACGGTTAAATTTAGTTTTACAGGGCAGTATTGCTCACATCATGCGGAGGGCTGATGCTTCCTGATAAGCAGTTGAACTGGTCCCTCTGGGACAGATTTGATTATATTCCAGGCATCATAATGCATAAGACCAAGCAAGGATTTTCCACCAATGGCAAGTAGTTCATCACCAACTTCCAGTTTTCCATCTTGTTCTGCAGCGCCACCTGTTGGCAAAGATGATTAAAATCAGAAAGGAAGGGAAGCAAGTAAAGAGAGGAACTGTTCAAGACAAGCACACTTTTGATTTCTCAAATCCAGTGACATTTCAGTTCTAAAACGTACTGCATTACCATTCTTGAACAGCACCAATTCACCGTGGTGACTAAGACTATTCATCAATCCTAAAACGCATATGATGCAAAGTGTGCTATAATGTATACTACATTCTACCACAACAAACCTGCAAAGTTCATTCCCATTTTTCAGAGATGCAACTGAGTCTGCGGGACTGGGCATTACCCAAGGCTAGGAAAGGAAAAAAAGGAAAGAAACCTGAAACTGGTAATGAGGAATGAAAACAGAATAGAGAAAAATAAACAAAATTAGGCAAAGGGAGTTGAAAAGGAAAGATGTTGAAAAGGCAAGTCAGCACCTGAAAGATGTGAGTGGACCTCTCTTACTCTGAACAAAGTTTTAAAAAGGTAATTGGTCATGATGACAAGGAAATTTTAGGAGTAGTGGTCCCCAAATGCAGTATTTTGAACTATGGTTTTAAGCTTGATCTTGCTGGATCCTATTTAGAGTGATAACCGTTTCAAAGAGGAGAATGGAGGAAAGAAAAGAAAAGAAAAGAAAGGAAAGGAAAAGAAAAGAGGGGAAAGAAAGGGATTTATCTGTTCGAGTCTCTACATGAGCATACTTGTTAGTGTATAGGTTGAAATAATATTCTCTACTGTTATTATGCACCCTTCTGCCCCTATCAAACACACAGACATAAGACTGCTAAATAAACTATTTAGCCATTCCTCCTGTAAGGTATAGTTCTTGTACCACTTTGAAGCCATTTTGAAAAACAGAATCACAAATATGCTTGGCACTGTCTCTCTCTCTCTGCACATCAATGCAACATATATTTCTTTTATACAGTCATGGGGCAGGAAATGTAGTGGAAAGAAATGCCAAAGGACAGGGGCTCTGAAAATCTGCTTTCCAAATACCTTTAAATATTCTTTTGATGAGCAAAGGTCTGTCTCCAGAGATTGAAGCTTTTCCTCCATCCAGACTGAAGCCCAAGCCAGCAGAAGTCTTCAACAGTTCAACATAAATAGCATCACTCAGTTCTCCACTTAGACCTTTAAAGAGAGAAAATAAACATAAAGTAAACACATTCTCTTTTGTCTTAATGACCAAACTTTAGGCAGTCAACCTTAAGGGATGCTGGAAGCAAACACAAATCAATTCCCCAAAAGGATCACAGACATTCCTGTTTTCCAGATCTTTGAAGGGCATACATCATCCTCCACAGACTTACTTTCTCCGTATCATTTCCAGTCCTTGAAACTAATAAATAGGCAGATATAATTTTGGATCCTTTTCTAGCATTCCACTATCCTATTGGGTTAGTTTGATCTTGGACCACAACATATGTGTAAATCCAAATGTCTCTGGAAATGGGACTCTAAAATGTCCACATAAATTACATTATTCATCAAGCAGTATCTGAGAGGCCTGATCTGATTTCCAGTTGGTCTGAATGGGGGCTGGAATATCTAAGCATTTGCCCTGCCTGTAAAAGCTTTTTAAAATGCTGTTCAGTTTCCAAAGGATTTCAAATGAAAACTCAATTTTTTTTACTGCCTCCATCCAATGCATAAATGGATAAGAAGTTACAACACAAACCATATGGGGCTCCTCCTCACTATCATTCCTTCTTTTTCTTAGGTATAAATTCATTTCTGCTTCTGTTAAACTAAGATTGTACCTGTTCCTCTTCCCATTGTTGCAGCTCCCGAGGTTGGTCCTGTAGGAGTAGACTTTTCAGACCCAGAAGAAGACTTTTTCCCATCTCTTTCCTTCTTGATGACAACAATAGCATATTTGTGGAGCCTTGCCTGGTGGAGAGCATTGAGTACATCTCCGTGAATGGAACCGGTAAGACAGGTGCCATTGATGGAAAGAATCAGATCTCCTCGGTGGATGATTCCTTCCTGGGATGCCACTCCTTTTGAGAACACCCGGTGGACCTTCAAATAGACACAATGCGACACAGGTCGTCAACTCAATGACCTCTTTCCTATTTCCAGTGACCCTTTGATATAAATTTATGTACACTGGCAGAGCTTCAATATAGGTACCTTAATGAGGTACTGGAGGAAATGTGAGATAATGTACAATTCAAACAATATATTACCTGTTAGAAGGAAAGGCTAACAATACCTTTAATTTTTTTCATCTAATGCACTCAATTAATGTTAGCCTTTAGAATGGTGAAAAATCAGATGCAGCCGGTTTTCCACTTTTGCTGGGGATGCAGGACCCACACAAAGATGGAAAAAAGCATATAAAAACTGTTTTTTTTTAACCTGACAGGTCACTTCTCTGGGAATTTTTAGGCCCTCCAGCACAGCTCTATCATCAACTTCCAGCACTGAGGAAATCATAGAATAATAGAGTTGGAAGAGACCACATGGACCATTCTACTCCAGCCCCCTGCCATGCAGAAAAAGTACAAAGTACTCCCAACAGATGGCCATCCAGACTCTATTTAAAAGCTTTCAAGGAAGGAGCTTCCACACACTCTGAGGCAGTGAGCTCCACTATTGAACAGGTCTTACAGTCAGTAAGTTCTTCCTAATGTTCAGGTGGAATCTCCTTTCCTGTAATTTGAGCCCATTGCTCTGAATCCTAGTTTCCAGGGCAGCAGAAAGGGAGCTACCTCTTCCTTCTGGGTAGAGTGTCCTTTGGAGGTCTTCAAACAGAGATTGGGTAGCCATCTTTCCGGATGCATGGCAGGGGATGGGACTAAATGGCCCTAACGGTATCTTCCAACCTTATTATTCTAATACATAGTAATGAATTCTGCGGCTGGCATCTGGTTAGGGACAGGTAAACATGTTTCTTCTAAACATGTGTTTGTCCTTTTTTTAGTACTGCAGGGAATTGGTATTCCTTTCCTCCTGATACAGTGTCTATCCACCCATCCATTTCACCAAACAGTTTCTAAAGCCTCCTGCAAGACCACAGAATTGTCTCCCCAAAGCCAGTCACACAAGGGTGACATCAGTGTTGAGACGGTGCTGCTGCAGTTATTTCATGTTGGTCTATGGCAGTGGTTCTCAACCTAAGGGTCTCCAGATGTTTTGGCCTTCAACTCCCAGAAATCCTAATAGCTGGTAAACTGGCTGGGATTTCTGGGAGTTGTAAACATCTAGGGACCCACATGTTGAGAACCACTATAGCCAGACATTTGTGTGATTCTGTCTTCTCCCCATGGAGCAGGGAATGATAGTGCAGGACAACAGCAAAGGTGGCAAATGGTCTAGGGTGGTCTCCAGGCGAACGGAAGAAGGAATTACTGACAGGGAAAGGAAGTAACACAAGACCAATGGATTGTGCAGAGGTACGATGGACAGTCTCTACTATAGAAGAATATGAATTAATCATCAAAAATGTAGCAACCTGAATGTTTTATGCTGTAGTTTAATGATCATTCAGGGTCAGATCTTGGAAAAGTTGCTTTTTTGGACAGCCATGCTAGCTGAGGAATTCTGGGAATTCTGGGCCAAAATTGTACTTTCTACAATTTTGTCCTAATCCTTAAGACATGTGGCTGAGACTACTGTTGATATTCCTCTTTGGCAATAACGTGTACCTAAAGTTTGTTCAGCACCCCGGCCCATCTCTCCCTCCCCCCTCCCCCCCTCTCTCTGTCTCTTGGATAGCATTAGCAGATGGTTTTCACAATGATACAAGCCGCCGTTCAAAACAGGAATTTATGGCTGGGGACTGCTTTGATAAATGAGGGCTTGATCACATTTCCAGCTGTAACCCTCGTATGAGAAAAATGCAGTCACCACTTACGATGATGGATTTTTGTTCCAGGTCCACTCCTCCAGCAACACTAAATCCCAGGCCAGATCCTTCCTCTTTATTCAAGACTACAAAATAAACATCTTCTTTGTTCTGACAAAAAAGAGGGTAAAGAAATATCCAAAGATTAAAAACCCACAGAACTATTAACAAAATTCACAACATGTCTGAAACTTAAGAAGAGTGTTGGGTCAAAAGAAGTGTTTTTTTTAATTTTTTAAAAAATCACATGTTGTAAATCAGTATTGAAAATAACATCAGCTTCAAAACATTATGCCAGCTGTTTTACAAGGATACACCAAGAGACATTTTGAGTTTAACCACAAACAGAGCAAAATAAATCAATCTGATTTATTTGAATTATCCTTTTGGAGTGGTGGTGGTGGTGGTTCTCATTTATGTCCTCAGATGTGAGTTCAGTTCGTTGCAAAGTTCAATGTGTCTCTGAACATATGCAGTGTAGCCTTCCAACAAGTATTACTAGCCACATCTAAAAGTGTGCAGGGCACAATTGGCAAGTTGTGGATCACTAAATGTTATTTTGCTCCATGCAAGGCTGCCTTTCAAGATGACACCAAAGCTGCAACTAGTGCAAAATGCACTACAATAGCAGTCTTGAAGGAATTGCACAAACTGCCAATATAGTTCTGATCTGAATTCAGTGTGATAAGGATAACATTTAAATACTTTAATGGCTAGGGACAGCAAAACATGGAGGAGAACAGTAGCTAAAAATCCCTACAGCAATGCTAGACATTTGGGGACTGAAGAACAATTTCATGGAGGGGAAAGAATTCATCCAAACAAAAGAAAGTCTCTCACAGTACATGGGCAGACTGCTATGGAATTAACTTATTATCTTTGAATGCAAAATTCTATTTCTGAAAGCTCAACTGAAGACTTAAGTTACACCAATGTTAGGAATTTGGGGACCATTTCTTGGGGACACAATTTCTTTTGAGAAGCAGTTGTCTCATCTCTCCCTCTCCCCAGCAATACCTCTGCCAAGAGATGGGGCTTAGATGAATTTAACATATTGTAGACCTAAATATTGCTATGAATTGCATAATGTTTTCCAGCCTCTGTGGCACTTTGGACTCAAGAACAGATGTGAGAAACTATGCAGACACTGACCATGTTCCAAGAAGCATTCAGTTTCATAAATACAGAGTTCCTGGATTTTACAAACTGGCACGAATAAATGATCTGATTACTTTCGGCTTGGAACAAAATACAGTCTTAGCAATTCTGCAAAATCTGCCAAACCTACCTGGCTCAACTAAACACTTGAGGCTAACAAGTTTTAATCAGGTATTGGATTAGAATAAAAAGCGGTTCTGGGAGGTCTTTTTCTCTGTGAATTCCTCAGGCCTCACAGCCTTAAAATGTGCTCAGAGATCTAGACTTGGATAGTTAAACCACAGCTAGGGTTGTTTCATACTTCACTGAACAGAAATATGGAGCCACTTTGTGCAGTTATTACGAGGATAGTAAAATAACCACTGTGAGATTTATCATTATGTTCCCATGACTGTCTTTTTAAAGTTTACCACACCTGATATTGGGGTAACTTGAGATCTTGCTAAGGGACGTCTCTCTTTATGTCTAGCTCAGTGGTTCTCAACCTGTAGGTCCCCAGATGTTTTGGCCTTCAACTCCCAGAAATCCTAACAGCTGGTAAACTGTCTGGGATTTCTGGGAGTTGTAGGCCAAAACACCAGGGGACCCACAGGTCAAGAACCACTGGTCTAGCTTATATCATATGGTTACACCTATGGCCTTCCTATTCAAGATCCTACATAAAGCACAGGCGATAGCAGGGCTCCATTATTATCATCTATGTAAAGTGTAGCTAGCCACTGATTTATTTTTGAAAATCGTATGGGATGTTTTTATGGCATTGTTTTTGTATCAAGTCATTTCCAATTCTTGGCATCATAAAATGGAGAACTTAATATAGGGTTTCCTTGGCAAGACTTGTTAGAGGAGGTCTGCCTTTGCCTTCCTCCAAGGCTGAGAGAGTGTGACAATCAAGGGGGGGGGGAGGTGAAATCAAGCCCACAATACTGCTATTAGTAAGAATGTCCTGCAAATAAACCCAAGGAATTTATATAAGACATAGTAAGAGCTTGGACTAGCCACAGATTTGTTGTTGGTACAAGATGATAAATAAGAATGGAATAGTTGAGCAAATCACCATTTATTGTTAAGTTCAGGAATAAGAAGAAATATTTAGATAGTTAAAAAGTACCATGCATACAAAAGGTGTGGTTTCAAGTGACCCTCATTATTTCAAATGTTCTGTCTCACTTAGGCAAAGATTGGTAAAGTTACTTGTTTGTACTATAACTCCCAAAATTCCTCAAATGTAGCCACAGGCCATGTTGTCAGGGGAATTCTGGGAGCAGTAGTCTACATCATCGTTTCTTAAACTATGGGTCTTGACTCCAAATGGGGTCTCTTAGCTCAATGTTGAGGTCACGAAAAATATGGTAACAGCAAAAGGGTTCTGAAGGCTACCCATTTACACAAATCTGTTAGCAACAACATGCAGTGAACTCTGCAGAAAATGCTTCATCTGCATTGCACAAAAAGAAAATTCAGCCCATTCAGTAAGCCTTGCAAATGCTGATTTATTATCAGCAAATGTTTGATTTTATACCTATTTTATACAGTTATATTCCTATATACTCAGGGTCACAAAAAGATTTCTGAGTCTTGATCTAGACTATTAACATTTCCAGCCTCTGTTTGTAGGTCAAGCTGGAATGTACCTGGAAAATCACTACCATACTTTCATGTCTATGGCATATCAAATTCAATTTTGAAAGGAAAAAGTAAGAAGCTCCTGGTTTACATTAATTCATATAAAGATGGGAAAGTGGGATCTATTTCAGATTGAGGTCTGTGACTGGAGATGTAGAAGGAAAGGCTAGATGCAGTTTCTTTCTAGAGGTAGCCAGTGGCTGCCGACCTCAAGCCAAGCCTCAACGGTTTGCAAAATAAAATTCCCACACTCTAATCTTGGTTAGTGAACTTGGAACCTTCTTGATATCAGCAGCTTTCCTGTGTGACATGTATTCTGCCATAAGCTTGAGGATTCAGAGACTATACTTGTGCTTTCCAAATTTGCATTTCTGGATTTATTCAATTTGAGAAAATAGATATGGATTAATTTTATTTATTTATTTATTGCAATTTCAACAAATGCTGATTTTCCAATTTTAATATCTGATTTTGGGCAAAGATTGATATAAATATTTCAAATAAACATCTTGTTCAGTTAAAAATTAGCTTTGCAAGACCATTCAGAACACTTTGCCCTGTAGTCCTATTATTTGGAATTACATTAATGAATTGCAGAACAGTTTTCAGAAGTGGAATAGGGATATCAGATGGCTTGTGGGAAACCCCTAAGTTTTGAGAAAGGAAGTAAAATGAATGTCCTGAAATACTACAGTTTCTCCGTATTATCAGCCTGGGTTTAAGGAGCTGCAATGGGAGATATTTAAGAAATATTTGCTTGAAACGCTTTAGAAAAAGAATCAGTCCTTTCAGTGCTGAAATATCAATCTAAAGTTTTAATGAAGAAACTTCTGTTGATCATGCATATCAGTATCATGTTCCAGAAAAACTAGACACATAAACACAATTTGTGTGTGTCAGCAATCAGGAGCAATTGTGAATACTGTTTCCACACTTTGCATTGCAGAGAAAACAACATTTGAGTACAAACCCCAGCGCATCGTGTTACAATGCTGGCCTCCAAGCAGTAGAAAATCAAAATTGATATGAAACCATAGAAGTGACAATAGATTGGATCCACTTGTATTGCTGTGCCCCTGGATTTCCTCACCACCTCCCTCCTAGAGTCTGGATGTGTTACTTTTTGGACCACCAATTCCCAGAACACTGCCATAGGAAGTTCTAGTAATAATAGTCCAAACAGTACCTTTTCTGAGTTATTTTTTCACTTTACCGTTCCTCCTCCTTTCTGCTGCCCTCTTAGTTCCGTAAAAATTCCACTTAAAGGGGGCTTTGCTGAATAAGATGCTATGATGCATATAAAGTTAAATGGAAGACCATTGGTCAAAGGAATCTTTTAAAGAAGGGATTTTCTTCTGATGCATGCTCTCCTGAGATTGGATTTGCACTACATTTGTCCTGATCACTTGCAATGCTTACTAGAACTGATGTTGGTTAGGAGCCTTGGAATATTAAGAGAGTCACAAGATATCATTCCTTGTTTTAGCAGAAGTCAGATTCTGGGTCCGTCCTAATGTCCTTCTGTTGTGCCATGACTACTTCCAGTTAACTATTGGAATATCAGAGATATAAGTTTGAAACCCCTAATTTACTTCCATTAAATGGAATTAAGTTGCCATATTTTCTTTCCTATATAACAATAAAAAAACAAATCAAAGATAGCATTCTGCATTTAAATATTGGCATATTTTCCCACAGGAAGTACAAAAATATTGGGTAGTGCTATTTTCTATCCTGATCTTATCCGGGCTTACCTTGGCTTGTGTTTTGGCCTCCTGAAGTAAAGAAGGAACATCACATTTTGTTGTCACTAAAGACAACACTGACTGCAATTTCTGCTGATCCAGAGTGGAGACCAAGAGTTGATCTAAGCTGAAAAATAAGGAAAAATAGTGTTGGAGATCAGCTTAATGCTTGTTAAGGTTTGTTTGCTTTTGAAAATTCAAACATTTCTAATGGAAAATGGCCACAATTTACCTATTTGTTTAGTTTTATTTACTTAAATTACATCACACCTTTTCCCTGGATTTCTAAGACGATTGCATAGTCCTGCAAATCTAGTTTAGCAGAACATTATCTACTGAAATTCAACCTGCGGTAAGTGAGTGATATGAAACAATCAGTAAAATATTAAACATTTAATGAGTCCCACAGGTTAATGTCTCAAAAACGAGGGAATTCCTTGAGTATTTTTTAATTAACAAGCTTAGAAGTTACTCTTCCCCATTCTTCCTATTACCACATGACTGTAAGAACAAAAAGAACAAAACAAAAATCTTAGGAATACTGAAAAAATATAGAAAAAATATAAATCTTTTGGCTTCCCTCCCTAGAAGAATGTTCTGTGCTGCAGCTTTTGAGGCCACAGGGCACTGTTCACTCCTGATACCAAATCAATATACAAGGAAAATGGTAAAACTTGCCTGATTGACCAGCTTTTCCCTGAGCACATCTTATTCCGGCTGACATCATGTTGCCGTACATCCTCATCAGATGCTGACCCAGGAGTGCCTGAACCACTATTCCTGGGACTGCTTTCTTTTGAATGGTGCCTGCTTGCCATTACAAGACCTGAAAGCTCAGAGTAGTCTTTCAAACTAGGAACACTTTCTATGGGAAGACCAAGGGATCTTGCAGCAGGTGGAACTTCCAATTCTGTTTTAAAGTGGGAAGATTGGGAATCTGTGGTGAAGTCCTCACTACACAGCTTGTCAAGATCTGGCATGCTTAAGGCCCTCAACTCCCGGAGTTTAGAGCGGGATAAGGGTGCATGCCTGATGTGTCCACCGGAGGCTCTGCTTCTTCGGATGTTGGTGCTGGACAGAGGCAAATTTTCTGGACTTCCCAAAGTATCACGCCTGGCATTCTTCTCCAACTGAATGTCATCTTTGCTACACTCAGGGGATGTCTGCTGCAGATGCATTAATGCTGCAGTAGTTGATGATTTTGTCATTTGTGGGGTTCCTGGGGCTTCACTTTCACAGTAGGAACTCAAGCTTCGTCGCAGTGTTTGGACTGCATCATTTACACTGGCAGCTGAAACAGCAGAAACACCACCAGACAGTCGCCTACCGACAGGGAGCTTGGAGCTGAAAGAGGTAGAATGTATGTCTATGGCTTTGACCATTGGCCTATCAAAATTAGCAAGGTTCTCAAAAGATTTAATTCTCTGTTTTACTGAAAAAGATGAGAGGGGATCATGTGGCCAGTTGAGTTCATAATAGTAATAATTCCGCCTGCAAGTTTTTAATTTGTCCACAATGCGGCTACTGTTGTCATTGGTCAACGATAATTCTTGACTGTTTGATTTGGGAATGCTATTTGATGCCTTCTTTTCATCTTGAATGTTCTGGTCATTCATCAGATTCAGATGAACAATTTTTAGCATGTCCAGCTCTGAATTAGGATGCTGTTCACAAGAAACACTATTCAGGATATTCTGGACATGATGCATTGGTGCATCTATAGCATTGCTCTCCTCTCGCAAATGGTTTGATAAATGGGTAGGCATAGAATAGGTCCGGGTCACAGGTTTTAATGCATTGTGAAAATGTGCTGCCTCAAAAGTATTCTGGCTACAGTTTTGTACTTCACTTTCCAACTGGTTGATCGCTTTCTTGCTACTTTCTCCTTTCTCCAGAGACCCCTCTGGAGTTAATGAGGAGGAGGAAGAAGAAGAAGATAGTCTCACCTCAATGAATGTGCGCTGAATTTCCTGACCTGATTGTTCCTTTTGAGCAGTGGAAAGAACACTAGGTGGCTCCTTTTTAAAAGACCCAATATTCTCAGAGCCTGAGGGATTATTTTCACATCCATCATAATTCAAGCAACTCGTACCCATTCCTTGGTTCTCAGTCTTGCCACTGAGACAGTGACCCTTGGTTGCCATTTGGGGATGTGCTCTTATCTGGGAAGAACTTTCCCGACTTTGGTAATTGGCAGCATCAGTCTTATTTCTCTCTTTGCTATTCATAGCTAATTGAATTGGCACCTGCTTTTCTTTTTGCTCTGTGGGATACTCAGCCATTTCATCATCACCAAGCACTAAGTTGTTAATGGATTTATCTTTGTTGTTTTTCACAGTATTTCCATCACCATTCAACATATCTGAAGTGGATTCCTGAGGCAGTGCTAAAACTAATTTACTTTCCTCCTCTTGTTGAAGAATCTTACACCCCATAGAAAGGCTCCTGCTAATTGGTTCCAAATGTGTGGCTAAGTTATGGAGGGATGTGACTTTCTTTGGAAGAAGCCTAGGCGAAGACTGTGCTGGAATGGATGTCTTTTTCTGATCAGTTCCACCACCTTTTGCAGGAGCAGCACTAAGAGAATCAGAATGAGTCTTTGACTTACTTTTAATAGTAAGTCCCTTTAACTTTGGCCCTGGCCTGTTCCGTTGATTATTTGAAAGTGTTTCTGCAATACTCTTTTGGGGAATCCCTCTAGTTTCTTGATGCAATTTTTTGAAAGCTGATGGGCTATGTGGGATGGTATTACCTTTACACTGGCCAGAAGTCTGAATTTTTGAATTTGAACTTTTTGAAACAGGAGTAGTGTTTTTTTCATTCTTTCCTGGTAGGTCATTAGCAGTGATGGTCTTACTAAAATCTTTTGATTTTGTCATGAGGGGAGATCTAGAGTTATTTACTATTCTTTGTGATGTTAAGTCCACAGAGTGGCTATCTTGCTTGGTCATGTGAACTGAGTCAGTGATTCCTTTTTTTGTTGCAGCAGAAGAATAAGCAACCACATGACCGTCACAGTTTATTCCTAAATCATTTTCTGTAGGTAATTGTTCTTTTTTATCTTGCTCATTTCTGCTCTCCCAACCATTCATGTTTTTTGTAGAGTGAAAAGGCATTTCTTCAGCATCAAGTTTGGAAATCTCATGCGTCTCTGTAAGTTGCTCCATGCTTTCCCTTTCTCCACTCCTCAAGGAACTGCTCTTGTAGAAAGAGCACTCTCCATTATTATGTTCTAAGAGATCTGCTTTTGGTGGAGAAACTTGAGAAGGAGAATGAAAGGGTTGTTCTTCTAATGAGAGTTTAACATCAGAAACTGCTAGTGAACCAATTTCTACATTGCTTTTTTCTCGCAAAACAATGTCTGAAGAATGACATTCTGGTGGGCTGGATGTTTCTGAAGGAGGTGTGACCACTTCTTTCTGGGGAAAATGTTGCTGTTCATGATTCGAGCAGCAAATTTCAATTTGTTCTTCATCTGACTCTAGTGTCTTGTATGTCTTTGAGGAATTGTCACAAGCAGACAGCAAGAGTGATGAATTGCCTGAGAGTCCAGCAGTTTCAACTACCGATTCTGTGTCTGAGCTGGAGTCATCTGCAGCAGCATACATAGATTTTGGAACTGTATTGTTTTTGTCTTCAACACCAGTCAAAGTGTCATCTTTTAAGCTACTAAAATTCCTGGAATAGTTACTCAAACGGGTTTGATTCACAGTGAAAATCTTGCTTGCATCAATGGAATCCAAGGCAGAAAAGCCCAAGATTTCTTGTGTGTTTGATGCATAATTCAGAGTTCTTCCTGGAAGGTCTTTCTTAACTATATCTGATACAGAATTAGAACCAGCATTTTCTGCCATAATAGAAATATCTTCCATGGCACACTTGTCACTGGTTAACAGACATGTAGCTTCTTTTTCTTTTGAGGAATTCATCTCAAGGAATCCATCAATATCTCTTGAACTGCCCTGCTCACAGCTGCTATCTTGAACACAGCTGGTTTCCAAAGAATATGCTAACATCTCCTTCATCTTGGCATCAGATGGCAGTACTGTCCTTTCTGTTACATTGTTAGGGTTATCTCTGCACAAAGGTTCATCCTGGTTTGTAAAGCTATTTTCTTCTTCAAAGATGAGAGCATTACTTGGATCGTTCTGAACTGATCCATCTGTTTCTGAAGACTCAGCAGTATTTGAAAGTCTGTTCATGGCTAAAAAAAGAAAGAAAGCAAATAAACAAGTTATTCCATCCTCTTAACACTGCAGTTATCATACATAAGACATTTGATCCAGTAATCGCTATACTGCCATTTTGTAATAACATTCAGTCACTAACTCTTTTTATTTTTACACATAATTACTGAGAATAGAACACTGAATACTTAGTGGGATATTCCATTCTCAGTTAGTGTGAAAAGGAATCACACAGTATGGGACTTAACCAAGCTACTCAAATAATCTTAAGTGTGCATTGTGGCTGACAAAGAATTGGAACTAAACTTTGAAACCATATCCCATTAATGCAGTGGACTTTTGCATGTCTACTTTTAATTTTGTGTGAATGTAACAAGTGTACAGCAAAACTCTTACAAATCTGGATCATTTGCAGGAAAGCTTTACAAGTGTAGTAAGCTATTAGGTAAGCTAAGCAGAATGCACTCCTTAATTCCAGATAAAATAGCAGATTTGGAAAAATTTTACAAACTAGAGTAGTACAATTGAAGTGTTAGTTTAGAAGTTTTCTGAGAACCTCAGGCATATCCAGATCATGTTCAACTCATTCTGAAGGGTGTATAAAACTTGGAGGGAGGGGGATTATTTTTCTACAAACCATAAAGACTAAGAATAAATCTTAGTTGTCAAATCAGAGAGTGAGATGAAGCTAGATAAATTATTATTATTATTATTATTATTATTATTATTATTATTATTATTATGACCAAGAGCTTATGTGTGCTGCTTGAGTGTACAGAGATATCTGCATCTCTTCTGTCACCTCATCTTACATCTGCCCATGGCTGCATTATATATCTTCTAAAGGACAGGAAAATGCCCCCTACAAGACTGCTTTGGGTCACTTAAATTGCTTTCTTTCACTCTTACAATCTCAGTTTCTTACAGGAAGAAACATATGTTCTGAATTAGAGGCCTGACTGCTACCTAAAAAAGAACTATCCAGGGTAGGAGCTGCAATGGCTCCAACAGAGATAAACCAAGACCTTTAAGATGCTCCAAGTGGGTATCTATGGGCTGAAAAAGATGCATAATGCTGTCTCTCTCACAACAGTTTGGTCCCAAGATAGTCAGCCATTCTACCAGTAGACCCATCAACAAAGCCAACAGAAAAACTGGTATCTGAGTGCAAGGGCATTGTGTTTCAGCCTAGGAAGTCAAGTCTGATTTAATCTCTGCTTTTCAATGAAATCTATCGCTTTTTTTTTCACCACACAGCAAAATGGTGACTGTGAAATTCGACACCCTGCAAGAAGCTAGAAGCATGGTTTTGACCTTGCCTCCATACACTACGTTCTAAAAAATATTTAATATCAGCCACAAAAATGCAATCAAGCTTCATTGACACCATTTTATATAATGGGTCTTGAACATCCACAGATGTTGGTATCCACAAGGGATTCTAGAACCAAACCCCAAAAAACAGCAAGACCTGTAACTTGAATATAGGGACAAATGCACAACTAATCCCCACTTTAACACCAGTTCTCTACGGAGAAAACTATTTTAGCTATCTGTTCCTATTGGGCATGTCTTTAATGAGGAAAAGGGGTATAAGCCAGCAACAGAAACAATGATATTTTGGAATTGTGAAACAACATGAGTTGTGGTGGTGAAGGGGGCACAAACTAAGGGGAAGAGGGGAAAAACGGAATAATAATAATAATAATAATAATAATAATAATGAAATAAAACATGTATAAGTGGATAAAAGGTGTGTGATAGAGTTATATGTAGTATAAGTTGTAATGGAAATTCAAAAATAATGATAAGAAATATGCTTAAAGATGTTTTTGATATTTTTTTTACTGTTAGATTGTATATGATACTAGCCGTCCCCTGCCACGCGTTGCTGTGGCCCAGTCTGGAGATCTGGAAAATAAAGTAATGAGAAAGTGCTGGTTTCTAATATATGTAATTTCTCTATCCTGGTGGGTGAACAGTATTCCTTGTTTCTTTTCAGTGCTGATGTAAAGATTGTCTTGTTTGCCTACTCTGGAACATGCAACATATAACTGGTCCTTTTCAAATCTATGGTACTATATCTGCCACAAACATATGTGTGTGCATGCGTGCGAATCATATATATTTATCTATATCTATGGCTGGGTGGCTCTTTGTCAGGAGGACTTTATGTTTTCTTGCCCGGGTGAAGGGAGTTGGACTGGATGGCCTTAAGGGAGAATTTCTCAACCTTGGGTTTGGGACCTGGGGGGGGGGGGAGGGGTTTGCAAGGGGGTGTCAGAAGGATCACCAAAGACCACCAAAAAACACAGCATTTTCTGTTGGTCATGAGGGTTCTGTGTGGGAAGTTTGCCCCAATTATGTCGTTGGTGGGTTTCAGAATGTTCCTTGATTGTAGATGAACTGTAAATCCCAGTAACTACAACTCCCAAATGTCAAGGTCTATTTCCCGCAAACTCCATCTGTGTTTATATTTGGGCATGTTGAGTATTCGTGCCAAGTTTGGTCCGGATTCATCAATGTTTGAGTCCGCAGTGCTCTCTAGATGTAGGTGAACTACAACTCCAAAACTCAAGGTCAATGCCCACCAAACCCTTCTAGTGTTTTCTGTTGGTCATGGGAGTCCTGCGTGCCACGTTTGGTTCAATTCCATCGTTGGTGGAGTTCAGAATGCTCTTTGATTATAGGTGAACTATAAATCCCAGCAACTACACCTCCCAAATGACAAAATCATGTTGTTTTGAGTGATGGTCACTCCTTGTGTTGTGAGACGTTTTGTTGCCAAATTTGGTGTGACTTCGTTCATTGGTTCTTTTGTTTTTAAGATACTCATTATGCAGAGAGCATTTATATATATATATATATATATATAGAGAGAGAGAGAGAGAGAGAGAGAGAGAGAGATAGATGACATACTCTTTTGTCTAAGGTATTGTTAAAAGAGGGAAGAACATATGCTTATACATTTTGTTTAACAAATGTATAAATAATTTCAAAAAAGAAAATATCTGTTCCCCTACCAAACTGACAGGATATCTGCCATCCTATTGAAAAATGAGATCCTACATTTACTAAAGTTAAACTTAAGGGGCTTGACGTCACATTTTCCCTCATATTTAGGAAATAGAAAATGAAGCTTTGCAGATATCTGCAAAGAAAAGGAGGAAACAACTCCAGCTGCAACCTGGTTATCGAATAAATACACCCTCAAAATGGGTAGAAACTCAGGCAATGGGCCCAAAAAAATGCTGGAAAATGGCTGAGGGGCATGTTTCTGGCACTTGCTAGGCCAAAGATCTGAAAAAATCTGGATAACTATAAATATCTCATGGGCTAAAGAAAATTGGGCCAAAGTTTCCTTCACAATCCCGAAACTATCTACTTGGCCGGGACTAGCCTTGAATTCCTGAGCTTTTCAGGGGCAATTCTTATTTATTTATTTACTCCTTCATATTAGAACTGTAGCCATTTTGGAGGCGCTCTGAGTGGCTTCTGCTGTGGCTCCTGAAAACACTAGGCCTCTCTCTTCAGGGCCTGGATAAATCTGATATTTCTTGTATGATGATATCTTATAATCCACCATTTTAATATGTGACTTTTGAGCAAATTCCTCCTGTTTCAGAAGGAAATCCAGGAAAGTCTGAAACATGGAAGAAAAAAACCCTTGGCCTCTTCATTTCTGAGGGAAAGACTTGATGAATCATACAATCAAAGAGTTGGAAGAGACCTCATGGGCCATCCAGTCCCACCCCCTGCCAAGAAGCAGGAATATTGCATTCAAATCACCCCTGACAGATGGCCATCCAGCCTCTGTTTAAAAGCTTCCAAAGAAGGAGCCTCCACCACGCTTCGGGGCAGAGAGTTCCACTGCTGAACGGCTCTCACAGTCAGGAAGTTCTTCCTCATGTTCAGATGAATCTCCTTTCTTGTAGTTTGAAGCCATTGTTCCCCGTCCTATTCTCCAGGGAAGCAAAAAACAAGCTTGCTCCCTCCTCCCTGTGGCTTCCTCTCACATATTTATACATGGCTAACATGTCTCCTCTCATCCTTCTCTTCTTCAGGCTAAACATGCCCAGCTCCTTAAGCCGCTCCTCATAGGGCTTGTTCTCCAGACCCTTGACCATTTTAGTCCCCCCCCCCCCCCCCCCCCCCCCCCCCCCCCCCCCCCCCCCCCCCCCGGACACATTCCAGCTTGTCAATATCTCTCTTCAATTGTGATGCCCAGAATTGGACAAAATATTCCAGGTGTGGTCTAACCAAAGCAGAATAGAGGGGTAGCATGACTTCCCTAGATCTGATGAACTTATTTGGGGTTTGAGGTCCAAGAATGATTAGGTTTCTTCACCAGTTAGTTTGCCTGTCTATATTTCTGAGGGAAGAGTCTCCTCAGAAAGTAAATATCGGTCTCTCAACAATATTGCCTCTTTCGTTGCAGTGAAAAGGAATAGGCCGAGTACAACTAATGTTATCTACTGAGTAGAATCACCTCAAGTACTGACATGGGTTATATTAGGCTGAAGAAGAGGTTTTGAAGAGATATGATAAGTCTCCAGCTTTGCTTGAAAATGCTGGGCTGTAAAGTCAGAGTCGGGAATGGAGACATTTCCTCCAGACCTAAATATGGGTCCCTTCCTCAGTGCAGAAAGGAGAATGGGGAAGGCCTATATGTCAGCTACAATTATGTTTAATCTCTGTATGTGGTGAGAATTGGTTTTATACTTTTGTAAGATGCTGGAGAAAAGTGGGACACACAAAGGAACACAAAACATAATGAATGATAGGGATCAAATATTTTAGCTACATAACATCAACATCTGTATTACTAGAGATCCAATTGCCACGTTGGAAAGAACATTGGGAAATAGTATTTTTTAAAGCATTTTAAAAACTTCATTAAAGGATTATGTGCTTATGAGGCATTGTGTAGTCTCTGGCTTTAGTTTCTTTCACACATACAGTGCCATTTTAATGCATCGTAAGCCCATGTTAACCGATGCACAGACCAGAATTTAACCCTTCTTTTAGTTCCTTGCAATGCTTATGGAGCAGTTTAACTTAAGTGAATGTAGGATCTCATTTTTCAATAGTATGGCAGATATCCTGTCAGTTTGATAGGAGAACAAATATTTTCTTTTTTGAAATTTTGCTTCAACTTTCAAATCTCCCACTAACTCAGTAGAAGGTGGAAAAAATATAACTTTTAAAAATGTCAAAACACTGGCTTTGTTATAAATATAACTCTATCCATTATTACTTTACATTTTAATTCCTATGGCTGGTTTGTGTAAGCAAGGCCCAGTGCACTGCTCTGTCTGGGGGCCTATAATGCTGTTAAGACAACACTGTACACATACACATCACTACTTCTTTTGTGAATGCTTTGGTTGTGCATGCATTTAAAAGTAGGTATTGAGTTATTTGACTTACTATGAAGATTATTGGGATGGCAGTAGAAGTACCTACAAGAAGCACTGCCTGAACATCAAGCAAAAAGTGGGTGCTAGAAACAATATCATACGAAAGCTGACTGGCACAACCTGGGGATCACAACCAGACACAGTGAAGACATCTGCCCTTGCGCTATGCTACTCTGCTGCTGAGTACGCATGCCCAGTAGATGTGGCTCTTAACAAGACATGATGAAAGTATTAGGATCCAACCACTGCATCACAAATGTTACCAGATATAATGCAGTGGTAGACACAGATGCAGTAAAGTGCGACTGCACATTATTTTGCTATGGTCTGTTCCCATAGTAGGTAGGTAAAGGTAGTCCCCTGACATTAAGTCCAGTCATGTCTGACTCTGGGGTGTGGTGCTCATCTCCATTTCTAAGCCGAAGAGCCAGCGTTGTCCGTAGACACCTCCAAGGTCATGTGGCCGGCATGACCGCATGGAGCGCCGTTACCTTCCCACCGGAGTGGTACCTATTGATCTACTCACATTTGCATGTTTTCGAACTGCTAGGTTGGCAGAAGATAGGGCTAACAGCGGTAGCTCACGCCGCTCCCCGGAATCGAACCTGCGACCTTTCGATCAACAAGCTCAGCAGCTCAGTGCTTTAACCCACTGCCCCACCGGGGGGTCCCAGCATAGTACGACTATGGAAATACACATTTGTATCTACCATGCAATTGCATTCCTTAATGCCTTCAGTCCCAACACTTTTGGATTATAAGACACAAATAATAACATCTTCATATGCCTCAGTTGACTAGTCCTCTTCAAACGCATTTTCACAGCACGTCTAAGTCCAATGTGGGCCATCTTTTAGTTCAGTAGTTCTCAACCTGTGGATCCCCAGATATTTTGACCTTCAATTCCTGGAAAGCTGGTAAACTGACTGGGATTTCTGGGAGCTGTAGGCCAAAACACCTGGGGACCCACAGGTTGAGAACCACTGTTTTAGCTGGTTATTTTGGTTTGGGACAGAGATTCAGTGAGTGTATTAAATCATTGACCCCTTTTTTTGATATGCATTTTAGCAGGAAAGTTGGATCTAATGTGAGCATCAATCTGTCTTCTTCAAACTTGCACAAATTTGAATGAACCAACCATGCAGCTAACTCAAGCATGCACCTGGCAGATATTATTACTACTAGTAAAGCTAAATGATAATATCCTCAAAGATGTCTCTCAGAAGTTCAAAGGGAGCAGCTGTCAGTCTGTTAAAAACCAAATTTAATTCCTACAGTGGAAATCTATGAACAGTCAGGAATGATGTAATTCTGGCACTCCTCAAGCCTCTTAATATGAGAATGTGCTAAAATAGATGCCTTTTCCCACTTAAAATCGACTGATAACACAAAGACTTGACGTTTTACAGTGTTTGGACACAAGACCTTATGTATTCCATCCAACAGGAATTACAATATATATTTCATAGGCACCTCAATATCCTTTTTCCTATATGCCAATTATGAAATGCATTATGAAACCATCATGGTTTTTACAACTTCCACTGACTGGCCCTGTGACTCTAAGGCAGGCCTGTACACCTTGGCAGAAGTAAGGGGCCAACCTTATTACAGGATAAACTTCTCCTCCCTCTCCCCATCGGGTTGCCCATGTAAGGGTTCCTCAGCATCACCAATGGAGGAGAGACCAAGCCAGAACTTGAGCTCTTGACTCTGCTGCCCCAGGCAAAGGCAACATGGGGGGCCGTATGTTGTGCACCCTGTTCCAAAACTTTCTTTACAATATCCATGCAGCTAAATTTAACCATGTTGGATTTGTATGGCACTCTGAGCATTGTGTTAGCAAGTCTGCCCTTTTGGGGAACCTCATTGGTAGTTCCATTGACAACTGAAGCAGAATTGGTAATCTAGATTGTCTGGGCCCGTAGGGAGCTATTAATACTAGAGGAATCTTCTCTTGCTGAATTTTTAGAAGGATTCTTTGAAGGTTCTGTACTAGTGGGAATGCATATAGGTATTTCGGCCAAATCACTGCTAAAGTGTTGAAGCTATCTGATTTTTTTCCTCCATCTATTGGAAATAACCTTCTTAAAGTTCTTTTCTGGTGCAAACAACTGTATTAGAAAATACCGAAATGACTCTCTTAACTGCTAGAACACATAGGCATTTAGAATCCAATCCTTGGATGTGTTATATGCCTGCTTAGATAATCCCATAGGCATTCTGTTCCCCTTTCAAATACACTGCCATATATACCTGTGATTCTTCTCTGCCCAAAGGAATAATTTGTTTGATTCCAAAATTAGTGGAACTGAGTCTAATCCCCCTTGATTAGAAACATATGCCTATACAGCCATGCTGTCTGTTTATACTTGCACATTCTGTCCCTATATAGCATTTAAAAACCTAAGTAAAGCCAACCTCACTGTCTTTAACTGAAGGTAATTTATATTGTGATTTTTGTCTGCCTATTGCCAGAAAACATGTGCTGATAAATGGTTGCAGTGAGCCACCAATCTGTCAGACTCACATTGGCTGTTACTTGTTTCTAGTTCTCAATCATTAGTGGAACTCTTATATTCATTTGTTTTGTCTACTGACCAACAAATCAACTCCTATATTATTTTCCATTATTCTCATTTTTGTTTTAAGCCCATTACTCACTGCCTCTTTTTTTGAATAAACTATGCACACATCTAATTCCATTTCTTATTTATTGATTTCATCCATCTCACTCTTGTTGGAGTTTGGGGGAATTTTCCTTAATTCCTCCTTGCGTTCAACATCAGAGACACATTGGAAAAAGGTCATTTGTATGACAGAATTCTTTAACTTTCCAAATCCCTCGACCAGCTGGTCAGCCATCAGAGGGACTATGTCTTTACGTTTAATATTTTTTCCTTTCTCTTTTTTTCACCTATGCTACCCTCTTTCTTGTCCATTTCCCGTTATTTTAAACATAAAAACATCTGAGAAGAGTTACCCATATCAGGTTTGGAAGGGCAGGAAAATAAAACTGTCAGAGGAGAAACCTAACTGCTGAAACCGAAAAAGAATGTGGCCCTGCCTAGTCAAATTGGTACGTGGGGATGAAACCAATTATGTTGGAGTGGTCCTCTGTGCCATCCTGAGAACAGCTCTTGTAGTCCCTTCCAAATCTATTGTTTTATGATGCTAGGGGTCTACGATTGATGATTTAACATCTGTTATTCTGGTAATCATTTAAGGGACCTGTGAGGGGAAACTGGAAATTGTTTAAAGTAGCTTTGGAAATGCATTCAGATACATCTATTCCTGTTTGTTTTTACATTTTCCTGATATGCAATGGTTTTGCGTTTCCTTTCAGAATTCTTCTAAATACATATTACATATAAATATTACTTCATCTGCTTTTGCTTCCCTCTTCTTACTGAAAATTTTCTCTAGATACAAAGACAGCAGTTCCTATCTTTGTCTATGCTTTTTAAAAAATGTTTGTTTCTAAGGTTGTTTATGAAAGCATATTTGGCTCTTTGGGTTTGTATATAACACACAGCTATAACTATCCAATGATCATAACTCAAAAGAAAAAGAAAAGTTCTTACCAGAATCACCTTTCTGAATATCCAGTGTGAGAGATGTGGAAAGGCACCGTACAAACACACAGACTTCTTCATAGGAGAACCCATGGATTGGGAAACTGTTGATTGCAACAATCTCATCTCCTGGAACTAGCTTTCCTCTAGATGTCTGTTAAAATTGCAGGGTTTTTTGTTTGTTTGTTAGAAGCAGTGTCAAATGAAATATACTGTCTATCAATAGGCTGTGCTACAATAGCAATGCTGTGGACACGTAATGTGGCATTCACCCATGGGATATGTAACTTGGGCCATGTCTGCATTACAAAAATGTGTACAACTCAGCATTTGCTTTGCATAACAACAATAACAACAACTTTATTTTTGTACTCTGCCTCCATCTCCCCGAAGGGACTCAGAGTGACATACATATGGCACAAAGTGCCAAAAACAACGCATAAAGTAAACACAAAGTACAAAAAGGGAAATCAAACAGCATATAAAACAACAATTTAAAACTCAGAACAATGTCCAATAACCTATGGTGACAACTGCCGTAACACATGGCCACACTGTAAACAAAGGAATGGGATCATGCAAATTGTAGCTAAGAAACAAGGGCATGGGATTAAAGTGCAGTGCTGTGTCATTAACTGAAGACCATTGGGGCTAGACAGGGAAGACGGAATAGGAGAGAAGCAACAATGATCTCAAAGGCTTGTTTAAACATCCAAGTACTCAGATCCCTGTGGAAGAACAGTGTGGGGGCCTACCTAATCTCCCTGGTGAGGGCATTCCAAAGCTGAGGGGCCACCACCAAGAAGGCCCTCTCCCTCGTCCCCACCAACCGAGCTTGTGGCAGTGGTAGGACCGCAAGGAGGGCCTTCCTGGCAGATGCCATAGTTTCCAAGTTCAATCAATCCAGATAGAGCAGAGAAAGACTTCTCTCTAAAATTCTAACTATACTGAGCTAGGGAGATGAATGATACATCTACTCATCAATCTCTTCCCCACACAGGGAAGATGGAATAGGAGAGAAGCTACAATGATCTCAAAAATTTGATCAGTAAAATAAAGATCAGGAAAAGATTCAAAGTACATACCCTTTCGGCTACTCCGCCTGGTCGCAAGTTTGTTATTACAACACGTAAGGGAGTAGCACAGATTTCCAGATCCAGGCCAAATGATTCATTCTCATTACGAATTAAGGTGACGGTCTCAGTGTCACTCTGCCCAAAAGGATTCTCCTGTGGCTCACTCTTCCGGATCTGGGGGAGCACCCTTCCACTGGGTCTGCTGCAAGCACCATGATCCTCATTTTTCTGCCTCGAAATACCATGATATTCAATGCTCATCAAGCTTTTAACTCGAGTGACTGCTTTGTGCTCCAGTTTAGGGGATCGCTTGGATTCCCCTTGTGTCTCTCGAAAATCCTTCAAGCTCAGGTGACTCGGATGAACTTCTGGTACATTTGAATGGTCAAATGATTTGACTGGAAGGAAAGGGGAGTCCACTATATGCTCCATAGCACCTTGTGTCAAATCCTTAAAGCTACTGTGAGCTGAGTCATTGAGGCCATGTGCTGCAAAGTCTTTCTCCAGGTTCTCATCAGTATCTTCTGCTGGTGTAGTTGTAATGATAACATCACAGCTTCCCTCTGCTTTCTTCTGACCTTTGGATCTCGATCCCTTTTGGAGCCGGATGCCATCTTGTTTGGTAAAGTCATCCTCATCACTCACATCACCATCATAGAAAGCAATCCTTCTCTGTCTCTGGACAATACGTGCACCTTTGGGGCTGTCACTGAAAGTAACATGCCGAGTAATAGTCTCCTTTGGCTTGTTGAAAGGACCAGGTGAATTGCTTCCACTAGCTGGTGAATCACATAGGCTTGCCTCTTTGGTAGCTAGGAAAGAACATATATAATTGTGATTTTATAATGTAAGGACTTCAAATATTCCCTTCATTCTTATATTTCTTGATATTTTCTCAAAGACTCTAGCTTTTATAAATGATAAATGGTGGGACACTATCAGGAAGACGGCCTTCTTAGGCACCATCTACAATAACCATTTAATGCAGTTCGAAACTAGGTTCAAACTGCAGTAGCCAGACAACAAACTCCCACAAAAGTACAAGAGAGCTCTTAATGTTCATCAGTGCTCTGTGGTTTATGTAATCACCATTTGGGCCTCAAACTGGTTCCAGGTTTTCCTATGTAATCATATAGCCAGTGAAACCACCTTCTTTAATACCAGTTTGAAACTTCATTAAATGGTCAGTGCCTTAGTGTTGGCACCTTGGTTATGGAGCAGTTTCTCCAGTAGCCTGTATCTACTACAGTATTCACCCAGATCTTTTAACAAATCTGACTTCACTAAATAGTACTTTATTGTTTTAGTATGTATTCTATATGTTCCTCTACAAGAATATTATGCTCCCTTCTGTTTGAATGTTATATTTTAAATCTATATTTTATTATATATTTTATTAATTTAAAAAGTTCCATCTGTTACTGGACAGTCATATAATTTAGTAAAGTAAACACACAAAGAAATAAATGAACTAGAAAATGTACAGCATCAAGGCCAGAAACAACATGTTCCATATAAAGAACAGTAAGGGAGAAGTTTCCATATCACTTTCAATTTCCAGACACTGCTTACTTGGAATGCCAGAAGAAAGAATACTCTCATCTAAAAAGCTGCTCCCACCCTTAGGATGAAGTGGCTCCTCATCACTAGAGCCTGCTGTAGTTATTTCCGAAAGTGGCAAATGACTTGCACCATCCTGTAAAGTGTACTGAGAGTGCTCCACTTCAGAATTGGTGGATCCCTGGTGAAATGAATAGGAGGAAAGTTAATATAGAAAGTTGCTGTAATGACTCTACTGGACAAGAAAAGTGTCATTTAATTTTTACAACCTCTAACAATCTTTACCACCACCATTTTATATATTCATTTTAAATATTACTCTATAGCCACTACTGAATGCTGCTAAAAGCAAGCAACAGTGAGTTTATAATCAGATAATGGGATTCTGTCCCTGAAAAAAAATGATAATGATAATTTATGTCCATAGAAACCAAAGTAGAAAGTGAATTAATTACTTTCTCTTTATATGCAAAAGAATTTGGGTGTCATGAAATAAAAAGCAGTTTGGCAGCTATCTATTTTATGACATTTTTTACTGGAGAGTACAGGTGCTTGTGTGGTTTTCTGTTTCATATGGCAGTAAAACTTGTTTAACTTTAAGAGTACTTAAGTGCACTCTGACTTGAGTGGATGGGATGAAATAATTCAAGTCCTTATCATGTAAACAAAGGTTAGAACAGAGCTAGCTTGGAGTAAAGCAACCACAATGACAATTCAGACAGAGAGGATATAATTGTGAAGTTGTCTCCTTTGTGTACCCAAAAACTTGACTGTCCTTAGGTGTAATGGTACTTTGGCTTCGATAGTTGTAAGTCACCATTTGTTTCTCTTCCTCAGGTTCCAAAATGTTTTTGGTCTGGACTGGCAAGAGGTTGATGCTCACTGTGAATGGTCATGCTAGGAAGGCTGAAATCAATCCATTTCATGCCAACCTGATTGAGGAAGGTACCCACAGAACTCTATAGCATTACAGTCATTGCCTCTAACACCTTCTCTCCTCGAATTGTACAGTTTTGCTTACTGCCACATCTTTTTTTTAAAAAAAAAATTAGCCATACTGAATTTGGATGTACAGGATCCTTCACCAATATATTTGGGTTTTTGTTTTTTTTTGATAAAGTGATTGGTGGAGTCACTGATAGCTATAGCAGCAAAGGGAACTATGGTCTCCTGTGCCATTACAAAGCAACTAACAACACATGGGCCTTTTTATGTTGTATCTCTTATAATGATTTCCAAATTATTTGCAGTGGTGGGAATGCATATAGACACCCTGGTGACCACGGCTGAGCCAAGGCATTGCGCCCGTCTGCATCTACTGAGCCATCAAAGGAATAGTATCTTAACAACTTGTAATTTTTGGACAAGGCAAATAAGCTGACCTGAAAGGGACATACGTTTTGTTCAGCTGATGAAATACATTGTTCAACACCCCTTCCTCTGGATGAACTGTATGCATGCTTAAATAATCAGCAAACATATTCAACCTGTCTTGTTATGTACTCTGCTGAAACTGAAAGAAAATCCTTTTCTGACTAGTGAAACAGTTTATTAGTCTCTGTAATCAAAAGTAATGATCTCAGCCCACCTTGATTTGTGACATATCCTCTGTCATATCGTCTGACTGGGTATGTAAATGTTGCCCCTTCACAATCAGATGGAATTTCAGCAATGGGAGTCTTACTGCTTTTCAATGTTGTCCGTACTCCCTAACCCGTCATGTTTTTGCAATGCGCTCCCCAACTTAAAAGGTTTGCATCTGTTGTAACTATGATTGTCTCTTGAATCCTTATTGTACATCCTGAATTCAAATTGTTGTCCACAACTATCATTTTAAGCCTTCTCTTAATTGTATAAGGAGTAACTGAATAATTCTTCTTTTTCTCTATTGCCAACCAGCCTTTGAAACTCCTGGTGTGAAACCTTCCCTAGGTCACTAATTGGACTGTGGACACTAGAAAGCCCATCACCCTGGCTAACTCCATCAATAATGCTGTTTCTGATTTTACCAAGTTTGTTCAGTATTTTTTCCCCTTTCTTCTGAAAGATTTAAGCCTCCTACTACTATATTTGTGGATCTAGATGAGTTATTCAAGTTGTTAGTGTCAAACAACTTCTTTTGAAATCTGTCACAAACCTACAAAACTACAGTGTCTGTGTTTTCCCTACATCCATCAATAGCTTCTCTTTTGAATTCACTTTCAATAGAATGTCATCCAAGTTGAACCTACAAGAAACACTGTCTGAATATCAAGCAAAAAGTGGGTGCTAGAAACAATATCATACGAAAGCTGACTGGCACAACCTGGGGATCACAACCAGATACAGTGAAGACATCTGCCCTTGCGCTATGCTATTCTGCTGCTGAGTATGCATGCCCAGTGTGGAACACATCTCACCATGCTAAAACAATGGATATGGCTCTTAATGAGACATGCCACATTATCACGGGGTGTCTGCACCCTACACCACTGGACAAATTATCACAGGAGGTCTACTGTTTAGCCAGTATTGCACCACCTGACATCTGCCCGGGAGTAGCAACCAATACTGAAAGGACCAAGGCAGAGACATCTCCAGCCCACCCCGTTTGGGTATCAGCAAGCACGCCAACACCTTAAATCAAGAAATAGTTTTCTAAGATCTACAGCGATACTTGCTGGAACACCTCAGCAAGCTAGAGTCCAAAAGTGGCAGGCTCAACCCCAAAACCTCTATCAATGCTGATACCAAATGAGAGACTCCCTACTGGGCACACTGAAAACTGGGCTTTGATGCCATTTTTATATAAAGGTGAACTTATTTTGGGTATAGAAGCTATGTGATTTGTCTTTCTTTGGTTTTCATAAGCAAATTCTCTCAGGCCTCATGGACTCAGTGTTACATGTGCCTTGGAGATTACTTCCTTGGAGATTACTGAATCACACTGAGCTGGAATGGGCCTGGGGAAGAGCCGAGCAAGAGTAGAGCTAAATAGAAATGCTCTGACTACTTGAGAGGCTGAAGTAAAATACAGGCCCAACCCATACTACATGAGGAAACAGCACAAGGTCACTTCTGGAATGTGTGCCATCTTAGTGGACTGGCTGGAGAAAGTTGAAGAAGAATACAAACTTGAAACAGAGACACTGCACCCTGCTGTAAACTATGTGGGCAGGTTTTTTTTCTTGCATGTTTGTCCTCAGAGAAACTGCAGCTTGAAGGAACAGTAGCAATTCTCTTAGCTGCGAAACATGAAGAAGTCTATCCACCAGGTGCAGAAGAATTGATGTATATTACAGATGAAACAACCCAGAAAAGTAGAGCTCTAAACCACCTAGTTTGTTATTTTGCCTGCCTCTGGGCTGCACCACCAGAATTGCTGCCTGAGGCCTACTCTGACCAGCATCTATCTGTCTTCACTGTCATATCTTCTGCTTTTAGCATTATCAGTTAGTTCCTATTTATGAACTCTATCAGATACACCTGTAATGAAACACCATCCTTTCTCCATATAATAATTCACTACAATTCACCTTCAAAACAAGACAATAGTGTTGCTGATTTCTCATTCTAAATATTTTACCCAACTCACTGGTTCCAAGAAACGCTTCATAGTCCAGCTCAAGGGCAAGGAACCTTCTGTCTGTTTAGACTTCACGCAAGGAGAAGGACTTTTTGGCAGATTTCCTGTGAAGTATTAATTAGGTTAGACAGTGGAGACTTTGAATTGCAAAATAACATGCACATAAACAATAATCCTTGCTGATGGGGCATGAAAGGGGAACTTTTGTTTGTCTTAGAACATATCTATTTTTAGATAAGTTTTAATATTGTTTAGTTGCTTATGTATCTATACTACCATAGATATTTTTAGGAGGCCTAAGGATGTGATGATGTCCCCAAACAATCAGTCCCCTTTGATCCTCAAAACTTTCCAGGAGAAGGGATTGCAATATGCGAATAGCCCCCTTCTAGAAAAGGTCATTCTATTTTATTATGTTCACTGACTAAAGAGGGATGGCCAAAGAGGGATGCCACTTTGCTGCTGGACAGGCCAGGAAGGGCTTCTCCTCTGAGGGAGCCAGGGGGAAAAAATAAAACATCCAGCTGGTCATAGCAGGACAAAATGCTCCATCTACCTTTGGCCTGCATATGCTATTGCCATGTGGGTAATTGACAGGTCCTCTCTGACTCGCAAAAACTCAGAAGGCCTATGCTGCTAGGAAAAAGAGTGAAGGGCTAGCTTACTACCCATCCTTGCATGAAAAGCTTTCGTTTCTGCTAACTGTACAAAGAAAAGGCTGAGACTGGAGTAATTTCAAGTCTCATCAAAGATTAGGGGGTTTGCCTACCTTGTGCTGACTCTAACTTGAGCATTCAAACAATAGCCTTCACTAAGTGAAATTCTCACAACAGGCACTTATACTTTTATATACATATACAAGATTATAGGTAAAGGTAAAGGTTTCTCCTGACATTAAGTCTAGTCGTGTCTAACTCAGTGGGGTGGTGTTCATCTCCATGTATAAGCCGAAGAGTCGACATTGTCTGTAGACACCTCCAAGGACATGTGACCGGCATGACTGCATGGAGCGCCATTACCTTCCCGCAGAAGCAGTACCTATTGATCTACTCACATTTTCATGTTTTCAAACTGCTAGGTTGGCAGAAACTGGGGTTAACAGTGGGAGCTCAGCTCACTCCCCAGATTCGAACTGCCAATCTTTCGATCAGCAAGTTCAGCAACTCAGCAGTTTAACCTGCTGTGCCACCAGGGGGTCCTACAGGCTTATATACATATATATTTTATACAAATAATTGCAAACATTGTTTTAGTTTACGTTTGTTCCCTGATTCTATCCTAGTGCAACGCCAATGAAAACCTCAAGAAACAAATATTTGATTTCCTTCTCAAATACTACTGTGAATGTGAGGACCACATGAATAAGAGACATAAGAGAAGTGATCAAACTTGATATTATACAATAATATGTATCATCACAGTCTAAGCAGAGGATGGCTGCCTATTCTCTAACAGTATGTCTGACTATACAAGGTATTCAGAACAAATGAGATTAAAACAGACATGTCTTAGGAGAGTCTTTGCTGACAAAGTAGGCTGCAGTCCAAGACAGCTTATGACAAATAAAAAACATCTTAGTTCATAAGGTGCCACATGACTCTTCTCTAGTTCTGCAGCAACTTTAACTAATAAAATTAAACATGAGGGGTTACAAAGTAGCGGCACAGCCACCAGTGGAAACATCTTACTTTGTCTAATTAGATTGGGAAATTTCCCTTACACAACATATACACAGAGATGTAGTTCTGCTATCTCTAGTTATTATAGATGTCTGTAGTAATGCTGTCGATGTCAAGAGACAGGTTTGAGAGAATATTAGAAACAAACAGACCAGTACCTGTGCTGTGAGATGAAGCAGCATCCTTGTGTTCTCGCTGAGTAGTTTGTGCTATGGCTTCATCCATTTCCTGTTCTGAAACCTAATATTAATTTGGAAATGGATATTAACTTTTGTCTGTTATTGTTAAATAGTAGCAAATCAGATACCACTGGAAAGCCTACAAACCTTCCACATGATATTCCACCTCAACAACTGATATTTAACAACATACTGATTTTGGTAATAAAAGTAATACATAACCACCATGAAAAGTGGCTGCGAACAACCTTATCCTGCATAAATTTATCTATTGCCATTTTAGAGCTATTCTTTTATTTATAAATGTATGATATGAAGACTGCTTTAATTACCTGCCCACTCATGTCCCATTTTTTTTGTCTCTACAAAAAATATACAGTATTTAGATTTAACTGTGGGAAGTGCAAAACAGTTGCAACACAAAACCAACTCCCTTGGCTGGCAATGCCAGAGTAAATCAAAATATTTTTCATGAATGAACATGAAACACCGAAGGAGATCAGAAATCTGAACCACCTGGATAGAGAAAAACTGAAAGAACCTCAAAGCAAACTCAGCATTTTAAAAGAGGTTTCAGTGACATATTCTCTCAGAATAACAAGGAAGGAAAATATTTGTGGATGTGTGATATTGGTTTTGGGAGTACCTAAAACCCTGAATACCAGGTAATTTGGTAACAAAAACATTCTATCTGATGGAACGTGCGTTAGCTACAAAATACGCTTATTGCAAAAAGGATGCTATAAGTCTTAGCCCCTTTCTTTAAGTGACTCCTAAGATTAAATCAAAATCCAAACGGTAGGAAAAGTACAATCATAAAATACAATCTTAAAATAAATAATCTTAAGGGATCAAGAAAATGTGGCCCTTGGGCTGCTATAAGTGCAACTCCTATCATTCTTTACAAGTGCCTGAATCAGCGAAGGCCAATGGGAGCTGCAGTCCAACAATACCTGAGACAACATGTTAAGCATTTTGATCTAAAGTGGTAAGAACAAAATTGAAACAATGCTATATTCCCACTTGAAAAAACAAAGGACTGTGAAATATTTTAATTACCAGCAAAATAAATCATGAATATGGTTATGGTGAACTCCATGAGATAATATTTTCCTATGTGAGCAGGAGAAAGTTGGGGCAGCACCTGATGATTGTACATAATTTTGTCTCTGTGGACAATCCACTGCTCAAAATATTTTAGACAATTTTCAGATATTGGGAACACTATGTTTTGGGGCTTACAAATTCCAGCAAGGCCCCAATCAGCATGGCAATTGGTCATATAGAATGTAAGATTCTGAGACTTGTAGTCCAAAGAAGTATTATGTACAAACTCTGAATCTTCATTTCATAAAACACTACTTTAGCCAGTCTAATCTAGCCCTTGTCATGTTGTTGGTGCATTTGCCAACACAAAACAATTCCTTATCCACTACCTCACTAATTTTACTTTAGCATACACAAAGTCAATGAACAGGGATGCAGTTACAAATCATGTTGTTGTTGTTCATTTGTTCAGTCGTCTCCGACTCTTCGTGACCTCATGGACCAGCCCACGCCAGAGCTCCCTGTCGGCCGTCACCACCCCCAGCTCCTTCAAGGTCAGTCCAGTCACTTCAAGGATGCCATCCATCCATCTTGCCCTTGGTCGGCCCCTCTTCCTTTTACCTTCTACTTTCCCCAGCATAATTGTCTTCTCTAGGCTTTGCTGTCTCCTCATGATGTGGCCAAAGTACTTCAACTTTGTCTCTAGTATCCTTCCCTCCAATGAGCAGTCGGGCTTTATTTCCTGGAGGATGGACTGGTTGGATCTTCTCGCAGTCCAAGGCACTCTCAGAACTTTCCTCCAACACAACAGCTCAAAAGCATCGATCTTCTTTCGCTCAGCCTTCCCTAAGGTCCAGCTCTCACATCCGTAGGTTACTACAGGGAATACCATGGCTTTGACTAGGCGGATCTTTGTTGCCAGTCTGATGTCTCTACTCTTTACTATTTTATCGAGACTGGACATTGCTCTCCTCCCAAGAAATAAGCGTCTTCTGATTTCCTGGCTACAGTCTGCATCTGCAGTAATCTTTGCACCTAGAAATACAAAGTCTGTCACGGCCTCCACGGTTTCTCCCTTATACAAATCATAAAGGACAATGAATATAATACAGATGAAAATGCACTTTGATTTGCAAGACTGGGTTGTTGATAGGACTTAAAACAATATTGAGCACTTTGATTTGTAAACTATCAGATACTGGTTAGAATCTGTTGCTCAAATCTGTAAGTGCAACAGTTACGTTCATTTTAATTGGTTTATCAAACAACAGACCTGTGAACAGTCTTTTGAACTGGCACTCTTATAAATTAAGTTTAGGAACATCTTGCAAACATTGCAATTCTTCTCAGTCTGTTCAGGGTGCTAGTCAATGGTTAGCGGCTAGGAACTTTGCTACCCGTCTAAAATAGTTTTGTCCTCATCTTGGTTTAATAAGGTATCTAGAGTAATTCATAAATTCATACCTTTGGGTTGGGATGGCGACTAATGATGAGATGAACTGGACCTGGACTACGTTCTCTCAAAACGGCATAAGCTTCACTTAGAGCTGCATGGCGCAAGCTGACTGAATCTGCTTCCAGAATCTGATCACCACGGCTAAGGAAAAAAGAAATCCAGTATTATATGCCTGCAGGATATTAAACTCACATCAGTGCTTTTTACAAGGTGTAAAAACATAAACAGAGCCTTTATGGATAAAGAACAAGGTATAAATACTCCAAATAAATAAACAATGTCTAGCAACAGAAATCTTATATATGCATGTTAGTAGGAGTGAATCTAGTTTAACGAGGGTCCTACTGCAAGCCCTCCCAACCACTGTCAGATAAATTTTGATTTGAAAACAGGATTATGACAGATTGCAACAGTGAGGGCCAAGGGGTCCTCAGCTCCCTTTGGGCATAATGACCTTATTTGAGACAAGCTTCATAGTTAACTACAGACATTATATTGCAAATATAAATAGCAACTCAGAGCAGACGGTATACAGGAAACAAATTATGTGAACAAATAATGCTATAAAATTTCAGGACTAACCTTAACCTTCCGTCTATCATAGCCACAGATCCAGGGGCCAAGCTATGAATATATATACCTGGGGAGCTATTTTCCATAGTGAGGCAACAAACACCAATGCCCAGCCCAACACCTGGTTCTATAAAGAAACAAAGAACAAATAGTGTCTGAACAGTTCATTACAATAATCACAAAGTATAAAAATACTGCATTGTTGAATTGGAAACCAAGGAGTGCCAGCCAGGTATTCAACCAATACCCAGCTCTGATCAGAAGAAGGAACTAAAAGGGGATTCTTGGCATCTCAATAGGTCAAAGTGGTCCCCATGGTATTTCTTGCCATGGACTCAGAAACTGTGGTTGCTTACCTGTAACCATGGTTCTTCGAGTGGTCATCTGTGGAATCCACACCTAAGGTATCTCTGGCGCCAATAGACGGCAGCTCTGGAAATTTTCAACAATAATTAACCTGACTAAGGCCCCGCCCTTGCGCTCCCAAGCACGTGTCCAGCCTAGTTCCCTGCCACAGAAGCGGCAGAGACGAAGGCATGAACGATGTGGGGAAGACGGGCGGGGTGGTGTGGATTCCACAGATGACCACTCGAAGAACCATGGTTACAGGTAAGCAACCACAGTTTCATTCTCGTGGTATCTGTGGAATGCACACCTAAGGTAGATTAAAAAAGCCACCTACCTAGGCCGGTGGGCGTCATGCCAGAGTTGAGAAAAGAACCGCTCTCCCAAACGCTGCTTGGCTCCACGACAGAAGGTCGATCGTATAATGCCGGACGAAGGTCAGCGGCGAAGACCACGTAGCGGCCCTGCAGATGTCGTCAAGCGGGACTCCGCGGGAGAAGGCAGTGGAGGTCGCCACCGCCCGGGTGGAGTGAGCCTTGAGGCCTTCCGGGGGGTCCTTGCCCGCCAGGTGGTAGGCGAGGCGGATCGTTGTGAGGACCCATGCCGCAAGGCACTGTGAGGACACCGGGGTCTCCCCGGTGTCGGTCTGTACTGGAGGAAGAGACGGGGAGACTTCTGAAAGGGCTTTGTGCGGTCGAGGTAGTAGAGCAGCACCCTCCGGACATCGAGAAGATGGAGGGCGTGCTCCAACGGAGTTGAGGGGGCCTGGAAGAATGCCGGGAGGACAATGTCCTGCGCAGAGTGGAAGGGAGAGGCGACTTTCGGCCAGAGAACTATCTTGTCCATGTGGATCCAGACATAGGGCTCGTCGGCCCTGAGGGCAGCTAGTTCGCTCGCCCGCCGAGCCGTATTGATGGCAAGGAGGAAAGCCGTCTTCCAAGAGTAGTGGGGGAGGTCGACGGAGGCCAGAGGTTCGAATGGTGGCTTAGCGAGGGAGAAGAGAACGAGGCGGAGATCCCAGGCAGGGGGAGGACGGAGCCGGAGGGGAAAGGCATTCTTGTGGCCCTGGAGAAAGAGCTGTACCAACGGGTCCTGAAAAGGAGACGGAAGGCGGTGGTGCTTCCTATATGCAGCGACAGCCGCCAAGTAGCACCAGGCCCCTATGCAATAAGGAGGCAAGAAAGTCCAGGAGAATGGGCGCCGGTGCTGTGAGAGGGTCGGCCTGGCGAGCTCAAGCAAAGGGAGAGAACACCTCCTACTTGCGGGCGTAGGAAAGTTGGGTGGACGGCCTGTGGGCTGCGACTAGGATGTCCCGGACCGCAGCGGAGAGGTCTGCGGTCAGATCCGCCAGGCGGTGAGGCGAAGCCACTGGGTGTCCGGGTGGCAGACAGTGCCCTGCGCGATGGTCAAGAGGTCCGGCCGTTGAGGCAGGCGGTGGTGGCAGCCGGCCGCCATGTGGGTTAGGAGAAGAAACCAGGCCTGGCGAGGCCAGCACGGGGCGATCACGATGGCGTCTGCCCGGTCATGGTACAGCTTGGAGACCACCTTGGAGAGGAGCGGGATCGGTGGGAATACGTAGAGTCGGGGTCCCACCAAGCGAAAGAGGAAGGCATCGCCGAGGCAGGAGGTTCGTGCCAGTGTCGTCCCCCCCCAAGCGCAGAAGAGGGCGCACTTCGTGTTGTCTGGCGTGGCAAACAGGTCTATCGAAGGAGGTCCCCACAGACGGAAGAGGTCCCCGGCGACGTCCGGGTGGAGAGACCACTTGTGGGCCGGTGCAAGGGAGCGGCTCAAGAGGTCGGCTCAGTCGTTGGACTGCCCGGGGACGTGGATGGCCGAGATGTGAATGCTGTTGGCCAGGCACCAATGCCAGATAGAAAGAATGAGTTGCAGGAGGGAGGCAGAACGTGTGCCCCCCTGCTTGTTCATGTACCACACGACGGTGTTGTTGTCCGTGCGGACCTGCACCGTGTGGCCAGCCAGGAGGTCCCAGAACGCCTTGAGGCCCTTGAAGAGGGTGAGCATCTCCAGGTAGTTGATGTGATGGCGGCATTCGGTCAGTGACCAGACCCCTTGCGTTGAGTGGTGGCCAGTGTGTGCCCCCCAGCCCGACATGGAGGCATCTGTGGTAAGCATCCGGGAGGGGTCCCTGGGAAGGAAGGGCATGCCCACACAAACCGACGGTCGGTGCAGCCACCAGAGGAGGGAGTGGAGGATGTGGGGCGGGAGGCGGAGGGACGTCCGAGGACTGTCGTGGAGGTGGCTGAAATGACAGAGGAACCACGCCTGCGCATGTGAATTCGAGTGAAGGGGGTGACAGCCATCGTCGATGCCATATGGCCCAGGATGGACTGGATATGCGTTGCAGGGACCGACGGGAGGCAGATGGCAGTCAGCAGGAGGAGACGCAGAGTCCGGAAGCGATTGTCGGAGAGGAAGGCGGTACGGGAGGCTGAGTCGAGGACCGCCCCGATGAACTGTATGGTCCTCGTAGGGGTGAGCCGTGACTTGGTGTGATTCACTATGAGGGCCAGGTCCTGGAGAAGGGAGAGGGTGAAGCGGATGTCAGAGAGGAGCAAGTGATGGGAGTGGCCCACGAGGAGCCAATCATCTATATAGGGGAATACAGTGATGCCCTGAGTGCGAAGGAAGGCCGCCGCCGCGGCCATGCACTTCGTGAACACCCTGGGGGCAGTGGAAATCCCGAAGGGGAGCACCTGGTAGGAGAAAGCCTGATCACCTATCATAAAGGAGAGGAACCGATGATGGGAGGAAGAGATCGCTACGGGAAAATAGGCGTCACGTAGGTCGATCGTGGCGAACCACGCTCCGGAGGGGGGAAGCAGGAGGATGGTAGGGAGAGTTACCATCCGGAAGGTAGGGGAGTAAACATAAGTATTAAGCTCCCGAAGGTCGAGGATGGCCCGCCGGCCTCCCCCCTTTTTCGCAACTAAAAAATATCGAGAAAGGAAAGCCGACTGAAAAGAGTCGGGGTGTAACGGGACAATCGCTCCCTTCAATAGTAAAGAGGAGACCTCCTCCCATAACTCCTGGGAGGGGTGGGTGGCCTTCACAAACCCTGTAGGGGGTAAAGAAAGAAAATCAATGGTGTAGCCAGATTGAACCACGCCAAGGACCCACTTGTTCGTGGTGATGGCCTGCCAGGCCGAAAGGAAGGTCGCAAGACGCGACCCAAACTGAAAATGGACCCCCGGCACAAGTTGGCGCCGCTCAAGGTCATGAAAATCTAACAAAAATGGGAGGGCATCGCCATGCCCGGAAAGGGAAGGGGGCTCTAATGCGGGGGAGGTGGGAGAGGGGCAGGAGGGCGAGGCCGCTCTAAAAGCGACATCGCTCCTTGCCCTGAAACCGGGGCTTAGCCTGGTGGACCGGGCGAGCAGGCTGTTGTTGCCTGGGTGTTTGGGCAGGGAGGCCTGAGGGAAGGGCCTGTTGCCCGACTGGTAAGGCCTGCGGGAGAAAGTCGGGGAAGAAGCCCACCGACCCGAGGTACGAGTGGGCCGTTGAATGGTATAGCCAAACTTATGGGCCGCCTGGCGAACTTCCTGTGTTTCCTTGAGTTGGGAGTTCGTTTCCGGGTTGAAGAGGCCCGAGTCATGAACAGGTAGATTTTCGGCCAGTGCCCTGCCCTCTTCCGAAAGGGTAGAAGTGCGAAGCCAAGCATGGCGGCGGATGGCCGTGGAGGTCGCAAGGAGGTGGCCCGAGGAGTCTGCAGCATGCTTAGCCATATCCTTCTACGCCCTGGATAAGGTGAGAGCCTCTTGGAGAATCGCTTCCGCCAAAGGATGTTGGGCATCCGGTAAGTAAGGCACATAGGAGGACATAAGCTTCCAAAGGTAGATCTGGCATGAGGCAAAATAAGCCTCATAGTGCGCAAGACAGGCGACAAAGGCCGCACTGGTATGTACCTTCTTGCCCATGGAGTCAAGTTTTCGGCCCTCCTTGTCAGAGGGGGTACTGTGAGGCTTGAAGCGCTTGCCCGGAGTCATGTCGGCCACCCCCGTATTCGGTTGGGGGGAGCCGAGCGATCCAGGAGGCAGAGGTAAGGTCAACCTTGTAGAGCAAGTCGTTCCTCCACGACACAGGTTTGACAGAAGGCGGTGGAAGGTTGGGGGTCTTGGTGAGTTGGAGGAGGTATGGGATCCCCGAGAGAACCGCCGCTGGAAGCGGGGCTTGTTGCTGTTTGTCCGACGGAAAGAGAAAGTCATCAACAGGTTGACGTGGGGCAGCCACCGAGACCTTGAGGGCTCTAGAGAGGCGGGCGAGGAGGGCGGTGAATGCAGACATGTCCGGAGGGGCCAGAGGATGCGTTGGGGCCGTCGGGTCCAGCTGGAGAGAGGCATGGGAACCAGAATGGGAGGAAAAGTCCTGGGGATCAGCATCATCGTTGACCTCGAGAGGCAGAAGGGAGGGCAAGGCATGGCGTGGGGCCGCCAGGGCCTGTGGAGCAGGAGGGTTGTGCTCAAGCACCAAAACTGGTGCATAGATGTAGGCCCGGCCCTCCGGGGACCGGTGGATGGACTGGTCCCTTGAATAAGAAGGCACGCCGCCTGCCCCATGCCAGGTAATAAGGCTGCTCGATGGGCGGGCGGCCCGTGGAGGCAAAGTAAATGTCGGGAGGGCATACTGGGACAGGCTAGGAGAACGAAAGGGAGAGAAGGCTGACCCGGCCTGCTGGGCCCGATAGGCCAGGTCCGAGGGAGGCAAGTGTTGAGGGCCTCCCTCGGAAGGGCGCAGGCCCACGACGGATGGGGGCGCGGCCTGGGCCTCAAGCTCCGCCGACGCCAGAAGCGGGAGGAGGCATGGTGAAGGGCCCTGCGGGCGAGCGGCTGTCCCCGCATCGGGGGGGTGGGCCGGGCCCGGCGCCGGGCCCCCGGCCTGCACGGCCGGGCCCGAGGCCTGCAACGCCGGGCTGGGCATGCGGTGCGGCCATTGCGCTGGAGTGGGTGGGTCCGGAGACTTCAGAGGCGCAGTCAGGGCACGTCCGGCAGCCGAAGACTCCTCCTCCCTCCTCCTCTTCGGCTTGAAGGAGGAGTTGCGGCCCGACACATCCGGAGGAGGCCGCTTCGAGGAGGACGCAGTCAGGCAGCCAGAGGACGGGGAAGGCAACGGCGAAGGTGGTGAGGCCACGCGGGGGTGCCGCAGAAGGCAGGCGGAGCATGGAGGAGGGAGGAAAGAGCGCTCACTCATAGAAGAACGCTTTCAGGCGGGTCTCCCTCCGCTTCCAGGCCTGGGGCGTGAGCGCCCTGCAGGCCGAGCAGGAGGCCACCGGGTGCGCCTCCCCCAAGCAGAGGAGGCAGTGATCATGGGCGCCGGTGTCCGGGAAGTTCCCCCCGCACACCGAGCACCTTTTGAAGCTAGGGGCCATGGAGAAAGAAAAGAATAAAAAGGAGTAAGGAAGGAGAGAAAAAAGGAGCTGCCACTTCTGCGGCGGAAAAAAGGGAACTAGGCTGGACACGTGCTTGGGAGCGCAAGGGCGGAGCCTTAGTCAGGTTAATTATTGTTGAAAATTTCCGGAGCTGCCGCCTATCGGCGCCAGGGATACCTTAGGTGTGCATTCCACAGATACCACGAGAATGAAACAGGGCAGTAGGAGGAACTCGAAGGTGGGGTTGACCTCTCCCCCCTTCCAATTATCAAGTGCAAAATTGTACTACTATTGACTTTTCAGCTTGGAAGAGGCTTCATATTTAAATATCTATCAGTGATAACAGATAGGGAAACTAATTTGACTTCCCGCTGACTATACCTCATTCTCTACACCTCAAGTGTTGCTGAAACACACGTTTTTGGAAAAAAAATTAGAGCATTATGTATCTGATCCTGATTTTTCTAAGGTATCTCCACACTTTTGCTCTTAATGTAGTATAGAAGAGGGACATATGAGATCTGAGAATATATATGTAACTTCACTTTCACGTAATAGGGTCTTATATGGTAGTCAGATCATTTCTTGCTTCAGTGGGTTGTTACTTTAATATACAGCATTCTGTGTTTTCATTTGATGATATTGGCACAGTTTATAATGACCAATGTTATAAATACCTATGTTGAGCCCTCCACTCTAAAAACAGTTCCAGGTTCTCGATCCACAAAGGCTTATGGGTAATGTTTGGTTGATGACTCAACCAACTACAAGACCCTGTAGCAGCATTCCTTCCTGGGGATGAACTGCTGTCATCATCCTTTTATGAACCTAACTTTTCTCTGTTTCACCCTGCTCCAGATTCAGAGCAGCAGCAAGCTCTGAGACAAGTGAAGAATGGAAACATTTATCCATAAACACTTTCTAAAACAGATCATGTTTTATAACAATGTCTCTTATAGTTGCTACCAATCTGATAAACTCTGTTTTATAATTTCTGTCATGGTTTTTCCCACAGAATATTCCTGTTGGGAGGCCAATAGGGAATGAAAAATTCACAGAAGTCCATTTAGATATTTGACTTCTTGTTCCTCTGTTTTCCCTGTATGCACATGTTTCCCCCCAGAGCAAGCTGAAATAATGGAAAACCCATTATAAAGCTTTTTCTTGTCAGCATCCTATGTAAAATGTACGGTTGTTATTCCCCAACTTTTAATAATTAAATGTATTCTCAGTACTCATATGTCAATGTTTTCACTGAAAATTCTTGGCAAGGTTCACTATGGTTATACAGACATGCACTATAAATTTAAAGCAGATTTTGAACTTTCCATTCTCATGGCTTGTTTGTTTGTAGGATTTTTCATTGTTGGCTTGTAGTCTGTTGTTTAAAAAAACACAGCTTTCAAAACAACTTACATCCATAAAGTACAACGATCCTATTAATATGCTTTTAAAAGTATAACAGCAGAGAAAGATTGGAATGTAATGGAGAAAACAGTGTTTTATTGTGTATTCTTGTATGACTAATTTTGTATGCAGGACAAGGAAGTTCTGATTATTTATAAAAATAATGGGGAAAAGGGTTGAAATGGTAAATTTTAAAATACTAATCTAAACAAATCTACCTGGAAACCAAAATAAATACAATTCTACTTTCACATAAAAGGCATTTTAACCACTTTTGTTTTCTTTGGATTTTTAAAAAATGGATTACAGAAGTTTTCTTTTGAATAAAATATTTCAGGATGAAGTGTTCATACACATATTTCCCCTAATATTATTACTAAAAATAAGGTAAAATATAAACTTTTGATCTTTGTACAGATACAGAAACAGCTGTTTTGTTAGAGAAGTCATGAGAAATTATCTGTTATGGTCTGTCTAAACTTTTTCACTCTACTGAGAAAACGAAAAAACTTGTTAAAAGAATTTTCAAATAATGTGCTATTGCACCACTAGTTCTGGTGAATATAGATGTAGGATCTCAGTTTTTAATTGTTTGTCTTAAACCCTCCTCCATAAAATTTCTCAAAGATTCTCTAAGAGTCTTTAAGCAACTTCTCATGAGCTTCTACGATCCTCTTTTGTGATATTTTGGGAAATGGCTAATGAATAGTATCAAGTTTCCTCAAACCTTTATTGAGGGTCACATCCATGACAATCCTATCCTTTGGTCCAGGTCCCTTGCGACTGGCAGAAGAAGCATCTCCATCTTCACTGCCAGACAAAGAAGCTCCTCCGCTGGAACTGGAGCTTGGTTTGCCTGACCGGCTCAGCAACGTCCGAGCTGGAGTGAGGCTTGGGCTTCGGAGTCTGGTCCGTACCGTGAGAGTCACCACACCTTTCTTGAGTTGCTAAAGAAGCAACAGAACCCTTTGTTAAGCTAAATAGCAAATTTTATGGATTTCTTATAAAGCTAAATGGTGTGATTACATATAGTATTCTATAGGACTGAGATTATGAAGTAATATTGACCATTACTAACTGGCAAATGTTAATATCTGCCAAAAATATTAATTCTGTCCTGCACTAATAACACTCGAGTGATTACATATACAGTCTCTCACACTTGATAACTGAAATACCACATATACACGCTATATACACATAATATGCTAATCAAAACCTGTACTGGCACTAGTTTTGCTGGTCATTATGTAGACCATCTCCAAAAAGGAATCTATCACAGGGAGCCATTTTGAATACAGTTTTGTCAATCTTTGGAATTTAGGATAACATTATTATGTATGAAACGTTATTTTAAAGCTTTGTAATGTAAGATAGATTATTCTGATTTCACAAAACGATAAGCATTAGTAACATTTACAAAATACTACAATGGCCATTTAGCAGTTATTATTTCTATTGTGTCAGGGAAGCTCTGTCTGCAATTCTCTTACCTTAAAAGTTTTAATGGCTTCCTGGTGGGTTAGACCTTGTAAGGTTTCTCCATTAACTTCTAGAAGTTCATCACCTGGTAATCAAAATCCACATCAACATTCAGAGAGGAGATACAGCCCTTTCTAAAGAATATACGCAATTTTAAGCTTATTCAGTTCCATTATTTTCTCTTTTTCATAAAATATGAAATACAAATGCTAAAGACCATTATAAGCAAGTACTCAGAGCAAGCTGTACATAACCAGCTAAAAATATTGTACGGCTATTACTCCAAGTGTTGTTCCTATTACTCCTACTATTTAAACAAGGGTTATACATTAAATTTATACATGAGAGGAAGTGGAGTGTATCCTAGACATTTATTTTTCTCATTGTGTAAAGATGTACAGGATTCCTTTTTATCAACTTTTGGAATCCTGCAGCCATTCCAGGTTTTATCAAAGCCTCTCTCAGTCCTTAAGTTTGGTTATAAAAGTAGTTGGGGCTATAGAAATTTGTGCATTGTTGCAATACCTTCTTTCAATCTGCCATCAGCAGCTGCAGCTCCATTTGGGAAAATGGTCTTCACAAAAATTCCCATGCGCCCTCGAGCAGAATCCTGTCCTCCTACAATGCTGAATCCAAGACCCTGCCACATATGGAAGAGAAGGGAAATAGGATGGAATAGATTATAATCTTGCTATTACTCATTCACAAACTGTTGGCAGATCAAGAAGCCAATATGAGCACTGCATCTATATAAAATCTGGACTTGAAAAAGTGCAAAAACTTTAAAACTACAGGATAAAGAAACCTTGACTGCACAATGTTACATTCTGTAAGTACCTGAAATATTTTGTCCTGTCTTGCAAGACAGTCTTATGTATAACATAATAAAGCATAGGTGGGCAACTACCTGGAGCTAAGGGGCCCCAGGAGACTTTGGAGGAACACTGCTATTGTTTTCATGTTCTGAAAATGTTGATCTAATTCCAAGATCACTTCCTTTATTTAAAAAAAAGCCTTTCCTTGATCTAAAATCTACCAGGGAGCCAAAAAAAGATGTGAGAAAATTGTTCCACATTCCCCCCCCCCCCCGGGCCAATTTGCAGGCAAGTTTTTTCCTATTGGGCTCACTTTCTTTATCCTTGCATTCATTGAGAGATCATTATTATGATCAGACTATCCATTTCCAGGAAAGGTCACAGCTAAGAAACTAGCCAAAGGCCATTTTCCATGACACCAAGGCCACATGTGGCTTTAATGACAAATATGCATCTAAGAGCGTTGTCTAGCTGTAAACATGCTCTTAAGTGAAGTGTAACTCCATCCCAATAAGTGGAACATCGATCATGTCTCCATCCCTTCAGGACTCGAAATAACTATGAATACCATAGTACTTTTGACATTAAATATTTTGTACTTGTAGAGCAAGAACAAACAACACATCCTATACTGTATGGGCTAAATGTAGACTCCAAGGGTGTTTCTGTAGCTCTGACCCCATTTCCCTCATTCTGTCAAAATTACTCAGACATCATGCATTACCTATTTATTTTTTAAAAAATCCTAATTTCCCCCCAAATTCTACAGTGGAATGTTAGTTGTCTGACCAATTCAAGAGCTTCAAATAAGTGTTGGTATTTACTGTCACTCTTCACTCTTGGGGCGGAAGAGGAGCAATCTACTACCCAGTGGGTTATTCCATACACAAGTGTCAAAGATATTTTGTCTCTTGTACCACTGATTTTGCTCCTCAAGATTGATTATGTAGTCTTCCACCAAAAAACTCAATTCAACCATTTGACAGTTATGAATATTTGAGTCAAGTTACAAATACAGACATTCCCCAGGTTACAAATAAGATGGTTCTGTAGGTTTGTTCTTAAGCTGGAAGTCAGAACAGCCGCATTTTTAAGTGTAACTCCAGCTTATATGGTTTTGTTTTGTTGGTTTTGTTGTTGTTGTTGGGTTTTTTTGCTATCGTAGCAACAGAGACTAGTGAGAAAGCTTCAGTGGAGACACCTTTTCCCATGATAACTCTTCAGGTCTGAATTTCCCTTCCTAAGGGTAGATTTTCTCTTACTTCCTGTTGTCGCCCTCGTTCTTAACTATGAGTCGAATGTAAGATGGATGTTTACAACTCAGGGACTCCCTGTATATGAATGTAAAATACCTCCTAAGTGTAAATTTTCAAATAAAATGGGTATGAAAAGAAATCTTATAGCAACCCAGAGATTAATGAAGTTGGTAGCAAAAGTTTTCATAGACTAAATCTGCTTTGAGTGTGGATCATGTCTCTACCCTCCCAAGAATGAATATATATAAGTATCAACATCTCATTCTCTGGGTGTTGCAAAGAAACATTCCACTGCCAAGTAGAGTCACCCTTAACCACTAGATTTTCATCTGGGAATGTCTGACTTTATTAAAAATACAGTACAGGTTGTAGAATCTTACAGCTGAAAGTTGCTTCTGCTGACCTATATTTATCTAATCTGCAATGTTAATAAATGTGAGTAGTTCCTTCTACTCTAGTGCCTCAAAAATATCCTCCAAAGGCACAGATAATGTATACAGTTGAATAATTGCCATTGATCTTGCTAAATGAGCACAGACGTTCTCTGGCTTATGAACTAAATTATAACATCAATGTATAGATGCTCTTAACCACTTTGATATCATGTGTTTAGAGACATATCATGTACTTAACTTTGAGTTAAACACAGGGAAAGTTTCAGTACATTTAACGTGTTTTGCTACACTAGTATTGGCTGGAATTGTGTTAGGTAATTGTGGTTATGTAACCCAGAATTACACACTCTTGTCTGGTTCATATTCACAATCCCTACAGAGCCACTAGCTCAGTGGTTCTCAACCTGGGGACCCCAGCTGTTTTTGGCCTCTGGTAAACTGGCTGGGATTTCAGGGAGTTGTAGGCCAAAAACATCTGGGGACCCCAGGTTGAGAACCACTGCACTAGCTTATGGGATACATAGGGACTGTGAGAGTTCCCACTGAGCAGCAGCCAATGTGATCAACAAGGATCTGTTCACCAATGCCCCCTACCCATCCCCCCCCCCCCAGACACAAACTTGAGCAATCTCAGGCCCATGGGAGGAGACTGCAAGAGGGGTGCTGTTTCTGCCTATTGTATCAGAGGTCACTCACAGGAGGGAATGGGTCTGGCACTTAGCTGTTATCTGATCAATTAGAGGAAGAGACCCCTGTTGATTGCTAACCAGCAAGTGAGAATTGGAGATTTCAGATGCGTAACACTATATCAACATGTGTGTACATACACATTCATAACTGTCCAAGATGGTCCCAGCTGTACAATTTCACTGCTCTGCGGATATCAAGTATACACCACTTTTTCCAATGGAATGGAATGAATATGGACAAAATATAAATAAATGAAGTATCCAACAATGCATAGATGTATAAGGCGACTTAGAAAAGAAGGTTCTATCATCAGACAAAGCCAGTTATTTGTAAACTGACATAAATTCTCACTTGTAGAAAGTGCTGCCACTTCTGAAGTTCTCCTAGCTGATGTTATTAGCTAGTAGAAAAACCACAAAGCATTTTTAAAATGCTTTTTTACTAGCCCCAAAAGGGGCTCTATTCAGTTTTTCAATATTAAATTTAAGTCCCGAGTTGGCAACCCATTCAACATTCTTGGAGCCTTCAAATTTGTTCCTCTTAGGGAACATTTAACATGACGATTTACTGTTAATCTCTGTCTCTCTACTGAGATAACTGTTGCTAATACCTTTTTAATGTCTTTGGATGAAATCCCTTTTCAATGCTTGCTTGTAGAAAAGCTAACACACCCCTTGCTTGTATCTTATGCACACACAGGTTTATTACACCACGATATGAATGCTTTCCATGTCACAACATAAATCCTCAGAGCCGAGTTCCTTTGGGAAGCTAATATCGTCTCTACTACTGGTACTCAACATTATAGTACTCAACAACTGGCTGCATTCAATTTTCAAGCAGTTGGTTTTAGCCATTGTGGGTTTGGGTGGCTTAAAGACCCATTCACTAACAAATCTTTCCTCAAGGGAAGGCTAATTGACAGTCTGATAGACACTTGAAATGGAACAGAAAACTGCAGACATCAAGGACAAAAAGAAGCTACCACTATCACCTGAGCCTTTTCATTTATAATTCTCTATAACATCCTCTGTATTATAGCCTGAAGAGGGAATCCATAAAGTAGACACGGTGACCATGACTGTGTGAGAGCAGCAAATCACTGTGCATTTAGACTTCCATCTATTGAAACATATCTTTATAAATTTGCATACCCCACTGATGCAAACATATTTACCCCAGTTTCCTGTAGCTGATTGAAAATATGTTTCAAAGCCCATTCCCCTTCAAGGGACCTTGAAGGGACTCAAGTAATCTGCCTGAATATTCAGAATTCTTTTTGCATGAATAGCAGAAATAGATTGAAATACCGGTAGTTATTTCTGCCAATCTCAACAGTGTGTTCACATCTTTCATCAGCCAGAAGGACCAAGAAGCACTCCCCCTTGCCTATGTTCACCCTCACTGTCATATTGCCTGTGGAAATATAAATGTGTTTTCCACTGACAATGTCTACAAAGTGTTAGCAGGGCCAGCCTCGCTGCTTTTAACCCCCAAGTAATCCATAATTTATTTCCTTTCTCTGAGGGACCACTCATCCTGAACAAGCCTTTCCTTCCAAAGCATGTGCCATTCCATTAAGCTTGTAACCATTGTTATGATTCTTTTTTTCCAGAAGAACAAATGGCACCTCCACATTCTTTCCCAACCAGACCTGACTATTTTCCTTGTTATTTTCCCTGTAGTGATATTTTCTTATTATTGTCAGAAACATCAGCAAGATCCTCATGTGAAATTGAACCACGGCACTAAATGTATTGTTGAAACTAACAGTCCTAAGATTTTTGTCAAATATGCTGTATCTACTGGATTCCGATATATCACTCTTTCTATTTCTCAGTGTGTATGAACATGATGGCTGTGATGCTGTAACATTAATGTCACTACAGTGATGGAGCTCTATCATCAAAGTTACACGTGATGGTGCCACCCACAAAATCCTATCTTTGCAGCCTGGCAAGCATTTCCAAGATGCTGAAGATCTTGGAATCTGGAAAATAACACGTGCAGCCTTTTCCCAGTTGTGGAGTGACTCAATTCTGACCCACCTTGGCCTGTTATTTTCAAAAATCTCTCTCCTATCATAACTGCTTACAATCATAGAGTTGAAAGAGACCTTGTAGGACATCCGGTCCAAACCCCTGCCAAGAAGCAAGAAAAATGCATTCAAAGCACCCCCAATAGATGTCCATCCAACCTCTGCTTTAAAACCTCCAAAGAAGGAGCCTCTACCACACTCCGGGGCAGAAAGTTCCACTGCTGAACAGCTCTAACAGTCAGGAAGTTCTTCCTAATGTTCAGGTGAAATCTCCTTTCCTGTAGTTTGAAGCCATTGTTCTGTGTCTTAGTCTCCAGGGCAGCAGAAAACAAGCTTGCTCCCTCCTCCCTATGACTTCCCCTCACATATTTATACATGGCCCTCATTATGTCTCCTTTCATCCTTCTCTTCTACAGGCTAAACATGCCCAACTCTTTAAGTCGCTCCTCAGAGGGCTTGTTCTCTAGACCCTTGATCATTTTAGTCACCCTCCTCTGGACACATTCCAGCTTGTCAACATGCCTTCAATTGCGATGCCCAGAATTGGGCACAGTGTGATTCCAGGTGTGGTCTGACCAAGGCAGAATAGAGGGATAGCATGACTTCCCTGGATCTAGACATTAGACTCCTATTTATGCAGGCCAAAATCAAAATTTTTGCCGCCACATGATATTGTTGGCTCATGTTTGACTTGTTGTCCACCAGAACTCCGAGATTGTTTTCACACGAACAGCTGTCAAACCAGGCGTCCCCCATTCTGTATCTTTGCATTTTATTTTTTCTGCCTAAGTGGAGCATCTTGCGTTTGTCCCTTCCTCCCTAAGATGAAGTAAAAGTACTTTTTGTTTTCCTTTCAAAACTCTTTTCCTGATATAAAGGCATTGCTTGGCGAGGGGAATTTTTACCAAACTTCCTTCCCCCCACATAGCAAACTGAGATAAAGCAAACTTGCATTCCAAAGTTTCCCTTGCAAGACCTTATAATACAAGAGGATAAGGTAGGAAAAAGGTGAAGGTGGAGAAGAATCAGTGGTACAAATTGAAAACAACTTTGAACTCCTTCTTCTGATGCAGGTGCATAGAATAGTCCAGTGGGGATTGAATGGCTCTAGAGCAGGCTTGCACAACCTACTGTCCTCCAGGTGTTTTGGGCTTCAACTCCCAGAATTCCTGACCTTTGGACAAGATGGCTAGGGCTTCCAAGAGTTGGAGGCCCAAACACCTAGGCGGCTGCAGGTTGTGCAGGCCTGCTCTAGAGAATATGTTTTTTCATGCACACTACAAATATATTCATGCATCCACCCACATGACCTACATGGTCTTAAATATGCTTACCTTTCCTTGACCTTTCATCAAGACAATGTTGGAAATAATAGATGGCTGGGTGAGTCGCCAAGGGTATTCAACCTGAGCTGCACTTAGAGAGCGTGTGGATTTCTTAACAATAGGATACTCCTAGGCAAATAAATTACAGGTAACAATTATGCAAAAGCCAAAAATGTTTTGTTTCACTGCTTCATCCAAAACAAGCATTCTTTTTACATGTTTTTTTTTCTATTCCATTCCCAAACTACCTATATACAAAAGGATCTTTGAACACCTTACAAGCAGGATGAATGAAGTTGGTAGCATAAACTTTAATAAATTAAGTCTACTTCCTCAGGTGCATAGAATGAAGTGCCAAGAGCAAACCTTCTTCAGAACTCTCCATTTTAGGTGGGACTGCCCTCCCGGAACAGAAACAGCACCATGCCTGAGGAGAGATGTCAGGCTGTGGGGGTCTTTCCATTTAAGTTCCTTCCTCACTCCTTTTCCCCTCCCAATACCCATATGAAGAATTTTCTTCCTCCATGTTCTTTTCCCCTCTAAGAGACAGCCACCAACAAAGCTAACACAGTGGCTATTACAGGGACTAGTTGACCATTTAATCACCGCAGACTCCTTTTGCCTGTCTCACCTGTCTGGTTCCTGTGTCCAGATGCTGGGGAAGAGAATGTTTTCTCCCTCCACGGGAATATTTCATTGCTATTTCATAATTCACGTCTCCATTTTCTACTGTCAACTCATCATCTTCTCCTACGGATTCTAAACGAGTTGCCGCCCCTAAGGTATAACCCAGCAATGTCATTTATTATACATATATATCAAAGCATCTTTTAACATCTATCAGTTGTGATGGAATCAGGTACATTAATTTTAGCATTTTGTATGTACACTCAAGGAATGACTGATGGAGACATTTTCTAAATCATCAAAAGCAAGTAAGATAAAATTTATCTTTATAGATAATACATAGAGAGAGAGAGAGCGTTCAAGTGGGTAACATTAATTTATTATAGAAGCAATAGCTGTAGCTTACCCATCTCAAAACACTATACTGGAAAATAGCTTAATATTTATCCCAACTTCTTACTACAATGTGTAGTGTTTTGGTTAAGATCCAGAGCCAAAAAGAAACTACCAAAGTCATTAGAATGAGCACACTAATTGGCATCAAAATAAATAAAGGCAAAACTGAAAAGAAGCAAATTCACCCTTCCTAAAAGCAGCAAAAGTTCAAGTCCTAATGGTTCAAGGCGGGGTACCACACAGCCAAAACATACATTATAAAATCCATTCACCAAAACACATGGTACTAAGATTGAAGCACATCAGCAATAGAATGCAAATCCAAACTTATGCTTCAAAGTTGACTGGGTAGGCCTGCCAGAAGTGATGGGTCTTCAGTTGTGTCTTAAATTCTGACAGCTCATTTATCTGTCAGGTCTCTTCTGGCAGGTCATCCCATAGTCTTGGGGCAGCCGATGAAACAATTGCAACACCAACAGGAGTGCATTCCAAAATGAGAAGGAAGCCCAATCCCAAGTATTTATCAAACAGGCTTCTGCAAGTGATTATTTTCTCAAAAAAAAAAAGTCTTCAAAAGAATTCTGCAACCTTCAATTCTTCCCTAGTGTACCTTGGGATCGGCTCCTGTACTTCAAAATACCACCTCCTCGAGTTGGACTTTCACCATTTTCTTTGGATCCCTCTTCACCTGAAGGATCTGGCGACTTATCTGTATCTGCCACATCTGGCTCCTAAACAAGTAGGAAAGGATAAATGTTATTAAACTACATCATATTTCCAAAGCCAGATAAACCATTATCCCAAGGACAACGCGAAACTTCAGATCAATTACAGTACTTCTGCTTGCTATGGCATGACCACACAGACAATTCAAGCCTTGGAAATTATCTCCTATCCTTCTCCTTTCATTGCAGTTTAGAATGTAAGAACTCATTGTGAGATGGCAGAAGAAGCTATGCTCCCAGAAGGGCAAATAATAAATATAGCCAGCTTTGCCAGCAGACGGAAAGATGCGTTCTTATACATTTTGGATGTTTTTATAGTTAAGTATGATAGAAAACAATAACGTAAATAGCTGGTATAGGAATCTGCAGCTGCTTTTATGCAGGAAAGCCTCACAGGCACAGTTTCAGTTCATGTTTCAAACCGTGCAAGGATAAAAAGCAAATGCAACTTGCTACACGGCCATCATCCAGCTCTCAGGAGTGGATCTCCCTCTCAACTGCCACTGCTCAGGAACTATCCTTCTTATCCTGAGTGGATGGAAAAAGAAGAAAGTACCACACATGGATTTTGCCATCTCTCCCAAACCTATCCCTTTCATCTCATTCCCTTTAGATTATGCAGGGAATATCTAAGTGACAAGCCCAAATAACTGTAGTTGCTGCCACTGCTGCCTCCTTCTCTTCCTTCCTTCCTCCTCCTCTTATTATTTGTTACCCACCTCTCCTAATGGTTCAAGGCGGGGTACCACACAGCCAAAACATACATTATAAAATCCATTCACCAAAACACATGGTACTAAGATTGAAACACATCAGCAATAGAATGCAAATCCAAACTTATGCTTCAAAGTTGACTGGGTAGGCCTGCCAGAAGTGATGGGTCTTCGGTTGTGTCTTAAATTCTGACAGCTCATTTATCTGTCAGGTCTCTTCTGGCAGGTCATCCCATAGTCTTGGGGCAGCCAATGAAAAGTCCTCAGTGATGATTGCCAGTCGGGTTCTGGGTGGTATACTTAGGACCCAGAATGTCCCTCAGAGGACCTCATGGACCTAAGGGATGGATTATATGAGAGAAGGCAATCCTATAGGAATCTAGACCCAAACCAGATGGTTTGAGCATTGGATTATGACTCTGGAGACCAGAGTTCAAATTACCATATGGCATGAAAACCAATGGTTGACCTTGATCTAATGACACACTTGATCTAATGACACACTCTCAGCGGCCTTCGATACCGTCGATCACGGTATCCTTCTGGGACGCCTCTTGGACATGGGGCTCGGGGGCACTGCATTGCAGTGGCTCTGATCTTTCCTTGAGGGACGGTCCCAGAAGGTGTTATTGGGTGACACCTGTTCGGCCCCACAACCGTTGTTGTGTGGAGTCCCACAGGGTTCTATCTGTCCCCGATGTTATTTAACATCTACATGAAGCCGCTGGGAGAGATCATTCGGAGTTTCGGACTGAGGTGTTATCTCTATGCAGATGATGTCCAAATCTGTCACTCCTTCTCACCTGTCACCAAGGAGGCTGTCCAGACCTTGAACCGGTGTTTAGCTGCTGTGTCGGACTGGATGAGAGCTAACAAATTGAAATTGAATCCAGACAAGACAGAGGTCCTACTGGTCAGTCGTAAGGCTGAACAGGGTATAGGGTTACAGCCTGTGTTAGACGGGGTTACACTCCCCCTGAAGACACAGGTTCGCAGCTTGGGAGTGATCCTGGACTCATCGCTGAGCCTGGAACCCCAGGTCAGCAGTGGCAGGGAAGCTTGCACAATTAAAACTTGTGCACCAGCTGCACCCGTACTTGGGAAGTCATCTGGCCACGGTGGTCCACGCTCTTGTACATCCCGTAATAGATTACTGCAACGCACTCTACGTGGGGTTGCCTTTGAAGACTGCTCGGAAACTACAACTAGTCCAGCGAGAAGCAGCCAGATTGCTCACCGGAGCGGCGTACAGGGAGCACACCACCCCCCTGTTGCGTCAGCTCCACTGGCTGCCGATCCAATTCCGAGCACAATTCAAAGTGCTGGTTTTGACCTACAAAACCCTATACGGTTCCGGCCCAGTGTATTTGTCCGAACGGATCTTCCTCTACATCCCACCTCGAAGTTTAAGATCTTCTGGGGAGGCCCTGCTCTCGACCCCGCCAGTGGCACAAGTGAGGCTGGCGGGGACGAGGAGCAGGGCCTTCTCAGTGGTGGTCCCCCACCTGTGGAACTCACTCCCCGGGGAGATCAGATCGACGACTTCCCTTCTAGCGTTTAGGAAAAAACTAAAGACCTGGATGTGGGACCAAGCTTTTGGCCATGCTGACAACTGATCAAAGGACCTATCGATAGACAAGGACAATGGAATGGAATGGATATATGAACTCTGATATATGGACTCTGACATGAGATAGTTTTTATGATTTTAATAGGTATTGATGTTTCATTTTAATTGTTGAACTGTTATATTTTGTATTGTTTGTTGTGTGATTTGGGCATCTAATTGTGCCTCCTTTGTAAGCCGCCCTGAGTCCCCCCCCCCCCCGGGGTGAGAAGGGCGGGGTATAAGTAGATGAAATAAAATAAATAAATAAATTTTAGTCCCAGAGGAAAGCAAAGACAAACTGCGTCCATACAAATCTAATTTCTCTTATAGTCAACATATGTCAGAAATGTCATGAAGGCATACAGCAATAACCGCTAAACAGTAACTAGATGCTGTTGCACCTAATGTCCCAGCAGCATTGACAAAAATCAGGATAGAATGCAATTATTATTATTATTATTATTATTATTATTATTATTATTATTATTATTATTCCGCCCTATCTCCCCGAGGGGACTCAAGACTTGGACTAGATAGAAGAGTTGGACTAGGTGATAATTGGGGTACCTTCTCCCATGCTGTTTAATATTTAAACAACACTTTATCAAATCTAGAAGATGACTTCTAGTGCCTTAAAGTTTTTTCACCCCTTCTTAAGGCATTTCTGACATTCCGTGAAGCCTTTGTAGTATCCAAATTGCAAAACATTAGTCCTTGGGCCATCCAAATTGCCAGTCCCTGTGATAAATAATACTGGGCTATTATTACTGTTACAAGTATTTATCTGTTTATTTAAAACTTTTATATCCCGATCTTCTCTACCTCCGTAGAGGGACTCAGACTGGCTAACTGCAAGAATTCAATGCTAACAATAAAAATCTTTAAAACATCATACATAAACAATCAGTTAAAAATACATATAAGATAAACTGCATATAAACCATTCGCCAAGATAAAACCATGTCCAACTCAGTCCGCACATTGTGGTCAATAACTTTAGTCAGTTACTGATCTCAGCAATCACTCTGCAAATGGGTTAATACAGTTTTGAGGTAAGTGCTCTGGATGCTCCAAAATTCAGAACGAATATCTTAGCCTCAACATCATTATTGTCGTCAGTATCATCACATACAGTATAATGTTCAGTACTTTCAAAACAAAGTAAGGCATGACAACCATGGGTTTGTTTCAATGTTCCAAAGTATGTGCATAATTATTTGCTTGGTTCATGATTTTTATAAGCAACAACAGGCAAAAATAATTGTTATGTAAAGAGATAATTTGTGGGCTTTTGATAAAACACAATTCTTGTTTAAAAAAGGGGGGGGGGAGACTAGGTTTGATGAAGAAAGCCTTCCAATTTTCACAAATCATGCCAGAGGCACATGTTTATTGAACATAGTACTTGTTTTCTACTTTCTAAAAGACCCCAATTACTTCCTACACTACAAATAAACAGAAATTCTACCCATTAAGCCTATGCATATTTCTGATGAGTCCCAGACTGTAATTCTTAGCTATAAAAATGAGTTGTGAAGCCACAGCTCAATGAAATTGCAACTCTTGTTTTATTTGCCAGGCTTCTAACAGACTACCCTGCTGCCAAAACAGTAACTGTGCCATTCTCAATAGTCTTGCTTTCCAGGAAGTGACACTCATTTCTTGATTTGGACTGCTAAATGAAAACAGCTATTTTCAAACTCTGTTAGTGACCAACCCACACAGAAGGAACTCTACTGGAGAAGGGGGAGGCTACCTAAACGGAAAACTCAGTAATAGTGGTGTGGGTTTCTAATCGATTTTACCTTATAAATTGATTTGCTGCAACAGAAGCCCATTTTTTGGTAGTTTATGTAGGGCAACAGAGAAGACTAGTCCATGCTCTGTGAAACGCCTAGAACATACTCCAGGGTTATGAAGCATCTGGCACTCACAGAATTCCATAGCAGTTAAAGAATGAATCCACTGTTTACATTCAACTGTATGTGGAAAATACTGTTGCCCATGGCAATGCTAACTGATCTAAACCAATGAATTAGCCCACAAATACGTTAGTAAGCATATGATAGTAGTCACTGGGCTTGATAGTGACTATTTTTGCACATTTATCTGGGATTTTCTTTTATTTTTTTCAGCAGGAAACTTTAAAAAGAGAGTATGAATGTATCCTTGCTGACAACAAAATTCTGGGATCCTTTTAAAGTATTGGTAATGATATTTGAAAACTTAAATAGCTTGATGCCTTTGTGCGTGTGTGTGTGTGTGTGTGTGTGTGTGCATGTCAGGAGCGACTTGAGAAACTGCAAGTCACTTCTGGTGGGAGAGAATTGGCCGTCTGCAAGGACATTGCCCAGGGGACACCCGGATGTTTTGAAGTTTTATCATCCTTGTGGGAAGCTTCTCACATGTCCCCGCATGGGGAGCCAGAGTGAGTTCATCCGCGCTCTCCCCGGATTTGAATCTGTGACCTGCTGGCACAAGGGTTTAACCCAGTGGTTCTCAACCTTCCTATTGCCACAACCCCTTAATAGAGTTCCTCATGTCGTGGTGACCCTCAACTATAAAATCATTTTCATTGCTACTTCACAACTGTCACTTTGCTACTGATATCAATTGTAATGTAAATATCTGATGTATTTTCATTTACTGGACCAAATTTGGCACAAATACTCAATACACCCAAT